GCTTCCTCTAACTCCCCCCACTTTCCACGATCGCCACCCCTCCCGCGATCAGCAGACCCGGCATTCCCCCAATGCTCCCCCACTTCCATGCTGTGGCCGCCCTGTTCTCTGTGGTAAACGGTGGCGCTGGTGTTGGCGCTGCCCCCGTGGTAAGTGAACTTGGAGTCGTCAGAGTCAGCACACGCGTTGTAGTCAAAGGCATGTGTGGCGTTGAACACACGCCCGTGTGCGTCTAGATACACGTTGTGCAGCAGCAGCAGCTGGGGGGAAGGGGAGAAGGAAGGGGAGAGGGGAGAGGGGAGGGGAGAGGGGAGGGGAGAGGGGAGAGGAGAGGGGAGGGGAGAGGAAAAGGGAGAGGGAAGGGAAGAGGGGAGAATGTAAGGGAGGGGGAAGGCTAGAGCTGAGCTGAGCACACGCGTTGTAGTCAAAGGCATGTGTGGCGTTGAACACTCGCCCATGTGCGTCTAGATACACGTTGTGCAGCAGCAGCAGCAGCTGGGGGGGAGGGGGAGGTTGGGGTCAAGGGAGAGGGGGGAGAGTTTTGAGACGTCTCAAAACACTGCCCCCGTAATAAGTGAACTTGGAGTCGTCAGAGTCAGCACACGCGTTGTAGTCAAAGACATGCGTGGCGTTGAACACTCGCCCATGTGTTCACGTTGTGCAGCAGCAGGAGCTGGGGGGAAGGGGAGGAGGGGAAGAGCGAGGGGTTAGGTGCGGTTGCATGGCGTTGAACACTCGCCCATGTGCGTCTAGGTACACGTTGTGCAGCAGCAGCAGCTGGGGAGAGGGGACGGAAAAGGGACGAGTATTGAGGAGTTGGATTCGAAGGCTTTGAGCTGAGCTGAAGCATGTGTGGCGTTGAACCCACGCCCGTGCGCGTCTAGGTACACATTGTCCAGCAGCAGCAGCTTGGGGGGAGGTGAGGGGAGAGAGGGAGAGTATAAGTTAGGGAATGGCTGTGAGCTGAGCTGAGCCCACGCGTTGTGGTCAAAGGCACGAGTGGCATGAGTGGCATGAGTGGCATGAGTGGCATGAGTGGCACGAGTGGCATGAACCCCTTGCAGCGCCTATCCGTGGGGTTGTTGCAGGAGCTGGGCACAGATGCAACCGTTACACTCTCTTCCACCATCCCTTCCACCCAACATGATGCCACCCCCAACCCCCCTCCTCTCCCCCCCCCTCCTCTCCATCCTCACCTGCGCGCTCCACACAGGCATCGACGCTGTATCCGCACTCCCCATGCAGCGCTTATCCGCGGGGTTACTGCATGAGCTGGGCACAGACGCACCCACTGCACTCCCTTCCCCGTCCACTCGCCACCTCCCCCCTCCCCCCTCCCCTCCTCTCCATCCTCACCTGTGCGTTCCACACGGGCAGCGACGCTGTATCCGCACTCCCCATGCAGCGCTTATCCGAAGGGTTAGTGCACGAGATGGGCACAGACGCACCCAGTGCACTCTCGTCCACCAGCCCTTCTAACCAGCACGACGCCACGTGGGGCATGCCTGGGTATGTGTATGCGAAGCGCGGGCATGGGGGGCCGCGGAGGGTTCGGGGCGGAGGGATGATTTGAGGGGAGGATGTAGTGTTGTCCTTCTTGGTGGTGTTGCTGGTGGTGCTGGTGCTAGTAGTGCTGCTGCTTATGCTAGTGGTGCTGCTGGTGTCTGTGTTGGTGGCAGGAACACTGCTCGTGCTGCTGCTGCTGCTGCTGCTGCTGTCGCTGCTGTTAGAGGAAACGGCTTTGTTGTTCAGCTCCGTTAATCTCCTCCTACCCCCGCCCGGTATATCCAACACATCTGGCCCTTCCTCTCCCTCCTCCTCCTCCTCCTCCTCCTCCTCTTGTCCACCCCTTCTCTTCCTCCCATCCACCCCCTCCTCCTCCCTCTCCCGTTTTCCTCCCTCTCTCACCTTCTGCCTAGCATCCTCCTTCCTTCGTAACTCCTCCTTCCTCTTTCTCTCCTCCCTCCTCTTCCTCCTCCTTTGCCTCCTCTTCCTCCTCCTCCTCCTCCTCCTCCTCCTCTCCTCCTCATCCTCCTCCTCATTAACTACATCCACGTTAACAAACCCCGGCCCCTTGTATCGCATCGCGTCTAGATACACGCGCGCGAGCGAATCGGATTCGATTGTGCGCGAAAGCGGGCGGCGGGTGTAGGTGGGGCGGCCGGCTTGTGGGGGGAGAGCCGAGGAGAGGGGGAGAGGGGCGGAGGAGGAGGAAGGGGGAAAGGAGGAAGGGGGAGAGGAAGAGGAGGAGGCGGAGGAGGAGGAGGAGGAGGAGGAGGAGGAGGAGGAGGAGGAGGAGGAGGAGGAGGAGGAGGAGGAGGAGGAGGAGGAGGAGGAGGAGGAGGGGGAGGTGCTGGAAATGAGAAGCATGAAGTCAGGATCTTCCCTGGGGGACCAGCATGGGGCTGTGTTACAGATAGCACCACCAGTGCCATCCTTGAAGGTACTATCATACCACTCATTATTATGCCGATGTGCATGCATCTCCCCTTCTTCCCCCCACACCATCTCCTCTACCCCCTCCAAGTCAATATCCCTCTCCCTACTTGCCTCCCTCTCTGGCCCCTCTCCCCCCGCTTCTCCCTCGCCCTTCCCCCCGTCCCCCTCCCCTGACTCCGCCGTCCGCTCATCTCCTCCTCCGGAAGTGTGTTCTTCCCCCGCCCGCGCATCCCCTTCCGCCGTTCCCCCGCTTAGCCACGCATCCAGCTCGTCCATGGCGCTCGCTTCGTCTATCCCCCGCGCCGTCTCCCCCGCTTCCGACATCAGATGCGCGGCCGTTGCGCTGGAGAGCGCCGCAGCGTCGCGCAGATCCGCGCGCACGTCCCACAGCGGGCGGAGACTCCCCCGCGCCTGCGGATCGGAGGCCTGGGACGAAGCGGAAGGCGAGTCTGACTGTAACGCGGATGTGGAACCTGGCGGTGTCGACACTACTACCGCCGGCAAGTCAGCGTTTTGCCTTAAATCTGATTCGCTTGATCGAAAACCAGGCGTCCCCGTGACCGACTCCGCGCGCGCCTGAGCCGTTCCCCCCTCCGCGCTCTCCGCATCCCTGTGTTCCGCCCCCTCCGCAGCCCCTTCTGCCTCCACAACCCCCACATTCCGCCGGACGCCTGCGCCAGTAGGAGAAACAGACGCTTGTGGATAGATCGGCGGTGATTGTTCAATCGAGTCTATCTGCTTACTAGCTGACGTCAAGTCTTCTGCACCTGGCTGGAATGTGCCGCTAATGACACGTGGCGTGGACTCACTGGACGAGATTGTTTTAGCTTCACGCAAAACACGGCCAGATTCGGCAGAGCCGTAGCGCGAGCGTATAGATGCTTGCAAATTCACAAGCGTGATTATAATTAAAGCGCAGACACACGCGATTGCAACGAGAAAATGCGGCGAGAGTGCTGAGCGCTTCGTGCGGCTGGCCCCAGTATCGGAGGCGTCGCGATCACTGCTGACCGAAGCGCCAGTCTTGAGCCTGTGCCGGCCTCTCATGACCAATCAACGCTCGCAGCGCAAGTCACGCTGCGAATCTCAGTGCCATGGAACTCACCACTCACTCACTGCAGTTCGGAATGTTTACTGTAACGCATGTCTAAGAATATAATAAGGTGCTGCTACACTCATTCAGCTGCTATATCGAGGAATCGGCGGCCTTCAATTTCGAAACTTTCGTCGGGCCGCGAGTCCATACGACGCAATGCATCCATGGTCAGTCCACTCTACCATGGGCCCGCCGGCCAGAAAGCCTTCCCTCCTAGAGCTTCCGTCGCCATATTCGATATCAAGATGTGAGATCACGGTTCTGAAGCTTGGACACCAAGTGAAGTGTGGACACTTTGGTAGCAATGAACACGTCTGATTGGCTGCCATGCTCCAAGACTTCTCCCAACTTGTGTGGTGACCAATGATCGGGTGTGTTTACACGTCACTGAGGGAAAAATTTGGTTCTTGGTGTCCAAGCTTCGGCCAGAACCGCGACCTGAAGTGCGTTTTATCTCACGTCCAAGGTCAAGGCCCGTGCATGTGGTGTGGATGCATGCAGCAGTGGCGGAGAAGGCGACTTTGGGGTCGGCGGCATTCCCAAGAGCAACAATCGCCAAATTTAAAGCGACGGGCAACTTTTGGCAGTGTTGGGTTCAGAAGTTTTTTTTTTGAACCAGGCTTGCCAGCGCGAAAGTGTTGGCTGGCGAAAACCAGGATTTCGTGCAGACACTTTTCATCTGCAGTAACAGTTCGCCAGGGTTCTGGGTTTTGGGTGGCAAATGTGCACCGTCGCTTTAAGGGCGATGCTGGCCGTACAGTCCAATGGGGACAGTTTCGGGGCAGGAGGGGAAGGGATTTTCAGGGGACGGCTATAATAGTTATCCGCTATAAAATGCATAATACACTGCTACACGTGTTTAAGAGTATACTCAGAGACTAGGACAATATCAATATTCTAGTAAGGAAGTAAGGCAATAATAAAGTGCAAGATTCATCGCACCAACAAAAATATTTTGAATGCCACTATTATCAAGAAATTCCGAGAAGACCTCAGATATACCAAAAGCACGCATAACTAAGACACGGGATTCAAGAATTATACCGTACATCGTATTCCATCCAAATAGGAAAATTCCAAACGCAGAAACATGATTTTTTTTTCTAAAGGTTAGGAAATTGTTTTTTCTTGAAGGCAGTGCTTTTGAATGATGTATGTGTTATATGTGCTTTTGCTAGCTCTATTTGTATGTAAGATTGTAACATACCTCCCAACCCATCTCCACTCCATATTCCAGATGGCTACCAACTCCGCCTCGGGCTCTGTTCAGCTGCCGTTTCTTCCCACCTCCGCCCCTCCGCTCTGCACGTCTTGCCCTCGCCTGCCCACGTATCCTTTACTCTTTTTGCCAGCCATAGCCATAGCCAGATCAGTGCCGTAAACCCGACACGGGCGCTGTACGTGGATCCCCGTCGCAACTTCGGCGAGATACGCAAGCCGTATTTTGATCTCCGAGTGTTCTCAAATGGAAATCGGCGTGGAGGACATTCTCGTTATAAAGGTGAGCTCTGAATCGTAAACGGCGAAATTGTGTCTACGTAAGACTCGCGAGATTACGCGCTCCGCCGGAGCACAGATCGTCGCACGGGGATTATTCAGTTGGAGGAAGTCAAATGGCGGGGAGGCTTTAGCTAGTTGACATCTGCGGGAAGGGATTGTTGACGACGGTGATGATCGATGTTTCCTGGGGACCTAAATCAGGGGGGGGGAAAAAGAGGAAACGAGGAGATCGATCGTTTCAGTTTTTTTAATACATCTGGTCTAATGTTCATATTCCGATTCTAAAAGTCTTGGCTTTACCTTTCAACGTATGTTTGCCTGCCTTCGGGCCGTGTCGTTCTGTACTCTCGTTTCGTTGGACTTCTTGGTAGAATGTTGCGAAGGTCTCGTCGCAAACGCTGCGAAGATTGCGAAACTTCGCCTTTGGTAGCTGACAGCCAACTTGAGAACGATTCCTGCGCCCTCAGATTTTCGCCGCGTTACCCGGCGCGTATAGTCTGCGCAATTAGTCACATTTGTTAACCCATCCATTCACTGCTTTCCCCTCGCCCGTTACAATCACACCTGCAGGCCTCTTGTGATGGCAGCAATCGCCGCCTGACCCTGCGTCGCACGCCGGATCTCTCAATATCCGCCCTCCATGATCACCTGAAGCAGCTTTTCTGCATCGGCAGCGGCGGTGACGGGAATAGTTTAGGCGGCGGCGTGCGGGAGAGGCTCGTGGTGACTTACCGCGACTCGGAGGGCGACTCGGTTGATCTTATAGACGACAGGGATTTAAAGGACGCGCTGTTTTTACAGAAGCTGAATCCGCTCAGATTGAGTGTGACCGTAGAGGAAGAAGAGGAGGAGGAAGAAGATGAGGAGGGAGACCGGGAAAGGGAGGTGGAGGTGAGCGGAAGAGAAGCAGCGGAGGGTGACGGGAAGGCAGAAGCAGGGGAAGGTGAGGGGGGAGTAACAGATGGGGGGAAGGCGGAGGAATCAACGCAAAAGACGCCTGGGGGAACGGAGAGTGCAGTTCCCAATGGGACAGCAACACCGGGAGAACCCACCAAGATGAAACCACTTGGAAAGAAAGCAGCAACGAAGAAAGCGAGGGGAGGCCGCAGGAGCAGGTGGAGCAAGCAGGGGCGGAAGGCGGGGGGAACTGAAGGAATAGGTGCGGAGCGTGTGTATATCCATGTGCAGTCAGCATCAGGGGTGGAACTGCGGGAAGACCACGGGGCAACGGACCTTCTCCTGGGGGTGACTCTAGAGAAGATCAACGCTGTCGTGGCTGCTGCTGTCAAGAACCGCTCCTCTCTCCTTCTCCAGATCTCCTTCGCTCCAGGCCATGCGGCCGATGCTGCTGCTGTTGCTGGTGGTTTGCCGATTCTGGAGTCTGCTGGAGTCGTTTCAGCAGGTGCGAAGCTCCCTGTTACCGCCGCCGCCGCTGCTGCACCAAGGAAGGCGATTGTGGGAAGCCAAGGAGTGGGATCAGCCGCAGGACTGGCGGCTCTGCATGGCACCACCACCACCACCGCCAGCACCATCAGCGGCAGCAGCGGCGGCGCTGGCAGGCTTGCGGTCACTCCTCCTGTCCCGGGGCTTGTTCCTACAGGAGCAGTAGTGGGCGGAGGGGCGGGTGCTATGGCCAAGGCTGGTCTAATCCCGAACCTTTCCCCACACGCCACGAGACCCGTTTCCGCAGCAGCAGCAGCAGCAGGAGGAGGAGGAGGAGGAGGAGGGATCCCAGCAGCCGTGGCAGCAGCAGCAGCAGGTGTGTACCGGGCGTGGCAGGAGCAGCAGCAGCAGGGCATGCAGCAGCACTGGAAGGACTGGTGGCTACAGGCGGGGTAGTCCCTGCTGCTGCTACTGCTGCTACCGGTGGTGGTGGTTTGTTTGCTCGTGCTGTGTCACCGCGTGACTCCAGGGCACTGGCAGGAGGAGGAGGAGCAGGGGGGAGAGTGCCGCTGTCAGGCCCTGTGGGCGGGCAAGGGAAGGGCGTGGATGTTGAGGAGAAGGGGGATGAGGCTTACCTTGCTGCTGCAGCTGCAGCGGCGGCAGCAGCGGCGGCGGCGGCAGCAGCGGCGGCGGTGGTGCATGAGGGGATCGAGTGTGACCTGTGCCGTATGTGCCCTATTGTGGGGGCTCGTTACAAGTCCAATGTGTACGTTCTCACTCACTTTTCACTCACTCGAACGCTCACTGACTCGCTCACTCAGTTGCGTACTCGCTCTTTCACTTGCTCGCATACTCACTCCCTCGTTTTCTTGCTTGCTAGCTCGCTCACTCTCACTCACATGCCATCCCTTTCTTACTTTCGGCTCTCCTCTCTCTTTTCACCAATATATTCGATTCCCTCTCGTAGCTCCGTTCCCTCCCATTTCCGCCCCTCCCTTCCCCCACTCCCTCCTTGTTCTCTCTGAACATCTTCATCTCATCGCCCACCCACTCATGCCACCACTCCGCACCTTCGAGTCCCCTTCCTTTCCTCTATTCCACCCATGCTGTCCCGTCTGAACTTTCTTCACATCTCCATATCTTCTCCCTCTCGTGCCAACCTCATCCCACCCTCCATATTTTCCTTCGCCCTGTTCCTCCATTTCCGCTGATCGACCTGCATTTCTCGCCCCCATATCCCCCCAAGTTCCCCACCCCCACGTGACTCACTTCGCCTGTCGCGTACCCAAACCTTCCCCCACCCCTTCCCTCCCGAGGTTCTTCCTCCCTCCAGGCCCCAGCAATCTCTTTGTGTCCGTTGGCGTGTGTGCGTGTGTGCGTCTCCCTCCGTCTTTGCCGGATTTCATGGCAACTTCAGCCTTCCATCTCTCTGTGCTCCTTCCCTTGTGTGCATCCCCCTCCTCCCTTTCCGTCCTTGCGTGTCAACCTCAGCCTGCCAGACTTTGACCTGTGCCGAGCATGCTACGAGGCGGATGGGGAGCAGGGTTGCTACGATGAGTTCATTCAGCCCTTGCCCGCCTCCCCACACCCTCGGTAACCCTGTGCTGCCCAGTGCTGGCGTGACATTGGGGGAGAAAAAGGGGTGGGGTTGGTGTGCGGGCAGGGTGAGTATCGGGAACTGTGTTTTGCAGAATTGGTCATTTGTGTGTCTAGTAGGGTGGAAGACTTATTTTGGCGATCTCCAGTACACATCTTGATGAGGTGGTGGGGTATATTCAAGTACGTAACTGGATAATGGGTCTTCCAGCTTGCGGAATAGAGCAACTGTTCGATATGTGATGAATTGTCTGTGTGTCTATTGTATTGTCAGCGCTTGTTCGGTAGAACTGCTGGCACGTATGCTATTTGATATGTTGTTCAAATGCTACACGAGGGCTTTTGGCATTGCAAGGAAGTACAATAGATAGGATGGATTCTTAAATTTAAAACTGTAGGTTAGAGAAAAAGTAATTCAGCATTAGGTTTTGGAAAGTGTCGGATGTTGAAGATGGTATCATGTAGAAGATACAGTGTCTGCTTTTGATTTTATGTTTCACATAGCGAGAATAAGCTCAGCGACTGATTGTGTCCGTCACGTGTGGTTGTTGGTTCACGGTTGGTCGACGAATCCGCGAAGCGACGCAAAGGCGACCGCTGACAAACACATAGCCGAGGGCCACGACGGGGGAACAACAATGACGAATCTGGACATGTCTGCACGTCCACTTGGCACGTCATTAATTCTCTCTGTTTTTTATTGACATGCAACGCATCGAACATCCTCGAACGTACAACCAATATCGCGTATGGATAGAAAGAGGAAAAGAGAAATAGGGAGAAGTAAAAGGGAAAGAAAGACACCAGAAACAACTCAAACGCAACACGTCATACTTGTTGAGTTCCCGAGCGCACCAGAGCACGTCATTCTTAGCGAAATTATACATGAGATCGGCTTATGCCAACAATTTCATCTTTCAATTCCTTAACTAAGCATTACAGTTTTGAGACAAAGTTGTTCCGTAAAATCCGTACATCAGTCGGCGAAACACGCAACAATGGAGAAAGGGTGAACATTGGTATGCGATGCGAGCAAAACACATTCGCGGCTCGATTCCTAAACATGGCGGCAAGCCAATTGAAGCACGAGGCTGGATTTACGTGTTCAACGGGGCACAGGTGTACGCGTTCGTGATTCTCATGTAACACTCAGTGGGGGGGAAACGAATCCAAACAACAGTTCTCACTCCAACCCCATCTGCGGCTTCACACATACCCCTTCGCACCGACACAGCACAGCACCAACTAACCCCTTCGTTCACTGTCAATGATGGTCCAGATGTGAAACGCGCCGCGGGTTTTCCCCGATTCCCCAGCCAACCTTCAGCCCACGATAACCTCTCTTGTGCTATCCCACCAGCCTATGGCGGCGCGGTGAGGTGGCCGCCTATCACCACAGCAGCACGCGACCACGCACCATTGTTTGTCATATAAATACCACACGCTTGCAGTCTCCCCCACTCATTCCTTCGGAGGCGTATAGCGCAATCTGCCATCTGCCCCCGGAAGCTACATCATCCACGCTTTAACAAGCGTTGGCGTTACTCAAGGCTACTTTTAGTACCAGTTTTTTGGTTTTATTCAAACTTATTCCAGCTTTGACGATCCACATTCCCAGCAGCGTCCACACCACTAACACCAGCACCACCACCGCATCCGCCATGCTGCGCCACGCCTTTCTCGCAGCGATGCTGCTTGCTGCATTGTTCGCCGATTCGGCCAGCGCAACGGCGCGGCTCCCTGCGCCCACAACGGCACCCACAACGGCGCCCAAGACGGCGCCCAAGACGGCGCCCAAGCCGGCACCCAAGCCGGCGCCCAAGCCGGCGCCCAAGCCGGCGCCCAAGCCGGCAATTCCTGGAGGATCGGGAGCGGATATCGTTGTGGCGAAGGATGGGAGCGGAGATTACACTAGCATCAAGGTACGCTCATATCGCGCATCGGGCATCGCTCGTCACCTATCCTTTGCCGTCGAGATTTCAAGTGACCTTCTTAGGGTAAATTCCACTGCATCATCTCACCAACGCCTCTCCCGTTTCTTTCACGCTGACAGGCTGCGCTGGCTGCTGCCAAATCCGGAACCGCAAATCGCTACTTCGTCATTCTCATCAAGGCGGGGACGTACACCGAGCAAGCAGCGGTACGTGCACGGATCTAGAATCGCATGAAAAAAAGTGGAGTATTTTTATGACTTTGGTTCCCGCACTCAGCAACGCCTCACATTGTACCTATTCGCCCATTGTTTCGACACTGTGATCGATTTGTAACAATCTCGCTCACAATACGCCCCTTGTTTGCACGCTGCCGCATCATCGCACGATTGCAGCTGTCCGGATCCCTGAGATACATTGCGCTCGTGGGCGAGAGCGGCACGAAGATCACAGCGTCGAATTACGCGGGCCAGTCGAACCTGAACGACTGCGCCACGTTCCAGCTGGCGGCGTCGGACGTGGTCGTCTCTAACATCATTTTTGAAAACGCGCACGGGCCGGGCGAGCAGGGCGGGTAAGAGCCGCTGGGTTCGATGGCCTTCCGGCATTCGTTCAATCGTTCATTCATTCACTCGCTCACTACCTTGCTCATCCACTTCCTCTCACTCAATCGCTCACTCTTTTAAAGCGGCTTGAGATTACAGCAGGAAATGCCGCGCTACCTGCTTGTGGAACGACCAATTAACATGCTCCACTCTCCGTCTCACCTGCACGTTTTGACGTATCGATCACAGAGACCAAGACCAAGCAGTGGCCGTGAAAGTCAACGGCACCCGCGTTGCCTTCTACGGATGCTCGTTCCTCGGGTATCAGGACACCTTGTACGCGCTATCGGGCCTCCAGTACTACAAGAATTGCGGTATGTCGCGATTTTAGAGTGGTCTGATTCTGCATTGCTTTACAATCCACGCACAGTCCAGTGGCTTCCTTGGACTTTCGAAGGAAAACTCAATTTCGTTCGCTAGTTCGCCTAAAATTCTCGCTCGATTTTTGTTTTTGTTTTTGTTTTGTTGTTGTTGTTGTTGTTTGTTTGTTTGTTTGTTTTTGTTTTGTTTTTTTTTTTTTTTTTTTTTTTGGCTTTGTTCCTCCTCACTCATTCCCGCTACCGTTTTCCCTTTCCCTCGTTTCACAATCCGCCAGTCATCCAGGGCCGCGTGGACTTCGTATTCGGCGATGCCAAGGCGCTGTTCCACGACTGCAATTTCCACCTCGTCTACTGGGGCGGCGGCTACTTCGCGCAATCCCGCCAAAAGGGCGAGGATACCGGCTTCGTCGTTCTCGGGGGTTCCCTGAGTCCGCTCGGCAAGGGCCCTATCAAGCCCGGGTACCTGGCACGCTCCTGGGGAAAATACTCCACCACGATTTTCATTAACACTTATTTCGCAGCCGGGTCGGTTCGTCCGGAGGGTTGGGGTTACGTGGGTGGTAACAAGCGCATGCACCATGTTACTTTTGGAGTGTACGGGTGCTACGGGCCTGATTACAACACCACGGGATGGGACGACACCTCGATGATTTTGACTGCGTCACAAGCAGCCCCGTATTCCTCTATCAGCTACGTGAACGACGGAGGATGGATCGTGGACCCGAACACGCTGGTGCGCGGTGTGGGAGGCAAGGTGAACAACAACAGTGTGAAAGGAGCGAAGGGGGTTGCTGCTGGCGGCCAGGGTTCTGCCAAGGGTGCCGCTTCGACCCCACCCGCGCCGCCTGCACCCACTTCAACTGACACGGGAAGCAGCAAGGGCAAGAACAAGAAGAGGCACCATCACAACAACTAGAAGCCTCAAGATAGTCAGTGAGAGACAACTAGAAGGTTCAAGATGCTGCTGCTGGTCATTGCTGGCTCTGGTGCAGAGTCCTGGGACCGTATACAGCGACAATGACGTTGATACTTGAATAGCTACGGTTAGATGCGTAGTGCATGCTTATACGCTGCGTGCAACGTATGTTGGGCATGTAGCACCTGCTGACTATGAGTGGTTACGGTATTATGATAAGATAGGACCTGGGCACAACATTGACACGTCATTTCGCCAGGAGCTGCTAACGGCGGGAATAAGATATCGCGATTCCGTGCTTTTTTTCTGAAAAAAATATCTGGATACATTAAATCTCATTTGCAACAATTGGTTTATTTTTGTATGAGTATAGTAAGTTCCTCCTGAACTTCCATACGGAAGAATACAACGGAGCTGCTTTAGAAGGTAACTTTGTCACGCGATTGCTTGCGAAACTTGCGAAACCCTGGGTTCTTGGAGCTGCGAGCAAATAAACAGCGGCATTGGAGATACGTGAGCTTTGGCCACTCCCGAAATTTGCGACGTGCAGAACAGTCGCAAGTCCCAGATGCGGTTGCATGCGACCCAACGATAGGAGAGAATGCCGCTTCGAATTTCCGGGCGATGCAGGGAACACCAAACCAAACGCCAGATATGGTCGCACCTGGGCCACATTCTAGAACAAAGTCCTCCTGTATGTGTGAGTGATACTGTACCCTTGCGTCTGGGGCGGCAGGTGAACCACGTAGGTTGTCCGGTCCAACCTCGAAGAGCCGCAGAGCGGGGGCATTCGAATTTTTGGGCGATCCGTTCTGTGCAGAGGACCCTGTCTGACCGATCCGAGTTGTGAACAAGGTTAACCCTGCTCTTGAGTGGGTAAGTGTAGTACATCGATACAATACTTCATCAACACTTTCAGGTGCTTAACAAGAGCCCTGATAGTATTATTGTTTTGTGGCTGCTTGTGTCGCTCTTCCCGTTTTATGGCCACTTGTGTCGCTCATCATCTGTTTGGGTTTCGGAGTTACTTTGCTAGTTTCCAAGAAATCAGGTGCATTGAGAGCGAGAACTGCTAGAGCTGTTTGTTAGTTCACAGCGAAGCTTCAAAATAATTGGCAGGGTGCATTGAGGTCGGACTAAACAGTAGTCTCTTTTTACGAAGATGTGCAAATTTCCAGCCATATCAACAAAGGCAGGGTGGCACTTTCGGGAACGTTGTGCTTGCAGGGGTGGTGACCCTTGGGTTAGGCAGGCCAAATAGGCCTGTCCTAGGGTAAGACCTCCCCAACACAAATCCCGCCACGAAGCGCGCGTTCCTCGCATCGCGCATTTTCCAGGCACTGCGATGCAATCCTCCGATGAGCCCACGACATTGATCGGGGCGCAATTCCTGCCCCACTTGCTGCCGCAGTGCAACCCAAACACTACATAATACCCACCTGCTCTCCACCGATCTCCCCAGTTTTGCGGCTGCATCGTTGGGTGGAAGGCTTGCACCACAGTAGTACAGCCGAGTTGAAGCTGCCGCAGATAGAATTTACCTCTATAACTGACCTACCTCCATTCCGCTCTCCATTTCCACATGAACGCGAGGACATTTGCGCTCTCCATTTCTACATGAGTGTGATAGCATTTACAATTGCCTGACCAAATCACTCTCTTGGAGATTCACCCAACCCTCTTTGATGGCTGTGCGACAACCCCACTCGGCAATGCGCCACTCATATCTCATTGCGGTTATCGTCGCATTGCTGCTGGCATCAATGGCAGAAGCTAAGAAACCGCGGGTAGATGCGGCCGCCGTTGGGGGAGCTGGTGCAGATATCATCGTGGCACAAGACGGAACAGGCCAATACACTACCATCCAGGTCCGTTTCCGTTTCCGTTCAGTCTTTTTAAGCCCAGCACCGACCATTTTTTCCGCTCTCAAACTACCCAGTTTCCTCTGCTATTCAGCCGCATCAACTCCCCCTCGTCTTACATCTCGTCTGTCGCCAATCACGTCCGTCAACTCACAGCCGTTCGTCCTTGTCTTCTCCCCCGCCTCCCAACAGGAAGCATTCAATGCTGCGCAATCGGGCAATCGCAACCGTTTCTTCGTTATCTTTATTAAAGCTGGGACATACGAGGAACAACCCACGGTGTGGCTCTTCTACCCCACCTTCTGTACATCCATTGCTCATTCCTTTGCTCTTGCTTTCAAATTCTCCTGTGTCTGGGGTTTAGCGGAAGTCTTCGCTAATAGAAGCCCGTCGGGGTTTACACTAACCATGTCTCTTTGACTCACATTCATCTCCTTTTATCTCTCTCTTGTTTCAGCTGCCCGCAAACCTCCGGTACATCGGACTGGTCGGCGAGAGGGCCGGCAGCGGCGTGAAAATAACGTCATCGGGCGCGGCGGGCGACTCGAGTCTGGACGAGTGCGCCACGTTTCGGCTGCTGGCCTCAGACGTGGTTGTCTCCAACATCATCTTCGAGAACGCGCACGGACCGGGCGAGAAGGGCGGGTAAGACGCGAAAGCAAACGCGCGGATATTCGCGAGAGCTGGCGAGAATTCGGAAAACCCGCGGCTACTATATAGGTGGCATAGGTGGCACGGCGCGCACAGAACAGAACCATGCAAAGACAACGTCTTATTCCTTTCTCGCGCGTTTCTCATAGGCTATCCCCGCCTGTGTCAGAAAAAACTTCTAGATTCTCCTGGGACTCACCTTTTGCGTGTGTCCCTCTGGCGTATGCGTGCGTGTGTGCATGCGTGCGTGTGGATGTCACAGCGACGAGGACCAAGCCGTGGCGATGAAAGTGGCTGGCACGCGAGTAGCCTTCTACGGCTGCACCTTCCTCGGGTACCAGGTGAGGACCTGGCGAAATTTTTAGCTTCGCGAACTTTGCGAACCCTGCGAATTCTGCCCGACTCTGCCAGCGGCTGCCTCGGACCAGCGGCACTTGTATCGTAGACACTACCGAGGCGCCTTGTTTTGAGACCTGAATATCTAACACCACCTTTTCCGTACACACACGTTTCGTATTGCTCGTCCTTATTCCGAAAGAGTCTTTCACTTGTGTATTTCCTCCTGCTGTCGTCTGCCCATAGCAATCCCTGCTCAATCTCCCCTGTGGTTTCCCCTTCCACTCCCCTCGATTACCCTGCGGCGCAGGATACCCTGTACGCTACAATCGGCTTGCAATACTACAAGAACTGCAGTACGTACTTCCAACCTTGGCCGTGCTTTGCTGCCTCTTCCGCGTTTTCTCTTCCGTCTATCTGCGCATGCTTCTTCCCATGCATCTGTCCTCTTCCCATGCATTCATCTTCCCCCGTCTCCCCCGCTTCCCCCGCAATCCCCACCTCCGCCACGCAAACCCGCCAGTCATCCAGGGCCGCGTGGACTTCGTGTTCGGCAATGCCAAGGCGCTGTTCCACGACTGCAAGTTCCGCCTCGTCTACTGGGGCGGCGGTTACTTCGCGCAGGCGCGCGACAAGGGCCAGGACACCGGCTTCGTCGTGCTAGGAGGCTCCTTAAAGCCCTTCGGAAAAGGGCCTATTAAACCCGGGTATCTCGCGCGGTCTTGGGGGGATTATTCCACTGTCGTTTTCGTCAATACGATGTTCGGGGCTGGATCGGTCCGGGCCGAGGGCTGGGGTTTTGTGAACGGTTACGAGGATACCGATTCGCTCACGTTCGGCGCGTATGGGTGCTACGGACCGGGTTACAACACGACGGGATGGGAGTCATTCGCGAAAGTGATGACTGCGGCTGAAGCGGCGCCTTATTCGTCAATTAATTACGTGAATCAGGGAGGCTGGATTGTGGACCCTAACGCATTGGTACGCGGCGTGGGAGGGTGGGTCAACAATGGGAACGGCAAGGCCGGCGGCGGAAAGAAACCAGCTGATTCTCCTACGCCTGCCACCTCGCCTTCTCCCAAGCCTGTACCCACACCTGCTCCCAAGCCTGTGCCGGCACCCACTCCCAAGCCGGCTTCCAAGCCTGGTCCTAAGCCTGCTCCCGTCCCTGCTCCCAAGACCGCTCCCGTGCCTGCTCCCAAGTCTGCTCCCGTGCCTGCTGCCAAGACTGCTCCCGTGCCTGCTCCGAAGGCTGGTGGTTCTGCCCCGAACAAAGGCACGGGGAACGTTCCGGCTGGCGCTGGCGGAAGGGGAAAGAAACGCGGACCCGTTGCTGCTGACGGTGCGTCTGGTACCCCTGGCGGGCAGACGGGGGGAAGGAAACCTGTTGCCTCGGTACCCCCCCCACCTGCTCCTATGACAAACCCAGGTGGCACTGGGAATGCGCGTGGTCGTAAGCAGGCTGGGGCGGGTGGAGGGTCGAATGGAGGAAATTCGAGTAGAAGAAACGGGGCGAACGGTAACAAGAATGATGATGACGACGACGATGACGATAACTGAAGTTGGTCTGGTGGGACATCCACGTTTTAGCGCATAGCATATTGACGGCGTGCTGTTACATCCGAGGAACATGCCATTAACGAAATACAGTAGGTCATTCCAGCAGCAGCAGCAGCAGCAGCAGCAGCAGCAGCAGCAGCAGCAGCAGGGGGTTATGAGTTCCACTGAAGACCACAGGATGTGTGCTCTCCTCAGTACTAGAGAGCACTTGGCGCCAATTTTCTTGACACTGTCCTAGGTTTGTTTTTTTGTAGGTATGTGCATGTGTTGCTTGTGCCAAATTGATCTACGGCAGCAGTGATGGCACATGGGGAATACCGTAACTACTCTATTGAGTTGTAACTCAAACTTTCTGTTATAACCGTACCTTAACTGAAAGTGAAACTGCTTTGTTCTATTATTTTACACTTTAGCCAATTCCGACTTTCCGGTTTGTCGATTGTTGTGTGTGGAATTATCAGGCTTGGTTGTCTGGCTAATACCGGTACCAGTAACGAGGAACATACCAGCTAAACTCCTAAACAGCCAAGCCTTGGTAATCAAGCCTAGCCTACGCCCACCACTTACGACGACCCTTTCGGAGGGGTAAGTGACAACAGCTTGTCCATAAGAGACGAGACGCCGCCCATCATGTCATCCACCATCTCCATCACGTCTTCCATCATATCCCCCACCATTTCCCGAGGGTTTATACCCTTGGCGTCAGACCTGTTACTGTCACTAGCGTCCTCCTTCCCTGCAGCAGGAGCAGAATCCGCCCCCGATCCTTCCCCCACCGCCTCTGCGCTAGTCTCTGATTTTTCCCCAACAATTTCAGCGCCGCCGTCTGCGGCGGCGTCTTCCGCAGCTGCTTCCGCCGCGTCTTCTCCCGCTGCCTCTGCAGCTTGCGCAGCTTCCGCTGCTGCTGCTTCTTCCGCTGCTGCGGCTGCTTCTGCTGCTGCGGCTGCTTCCGCTTCCGCCGCTGCTTCCGCTGCCGCGGCGGCCTCCGCCTCACGCTGGCGAGCCAGCGCCTCTTCGCGGACGCGCTCCAGCGCCTCCCGCTTGCCCTCGTCGCGGGAACGCGCGGAGGCGGAGTCGGGGAGGGTGAGGGCGGAGAGAGCGACGGAGGAAGTGGCGATGAGGAGGGACAGGTGGCGGCGTGTGATTGGTGCCTGAAGGTCGTGGTAACATTGGCAAGTTGGGGGGGAGGAAAGCACATAGGAACGCAAATGGTGCGATCGGCTATGAAAAATAGCAAGGGTCTAGGAAGGAAAAGGCAAGGGTATTTTCTTGTCGAAACACGAAGGCATGCTTTCTAACCAAACCCACTGTATTGGAAGCGACTGCACGTTATTCGCGTGTTACCAGCAGTGGCAAGTGAATCAACTTGGAAAGGCTCGGTGGACGAGGGAAAGGCATTCATGACCAAGCTGAGAAATCCAGCTGAGTGATTTAAAAGACTCTCGAGGCCAAAGACTCCTCCGCATGCATGCGTCCAATGCTTTATTTCAAAGCCATCCTTCTAGCATCTGCGTCAGCGCCGTTGAGTACGGGCTTCCAGAATCAAGACAAACCCCTCCACGTCCGTTTCCTCAAACAATATTGCGAGCCGTTTGAAAACAGTGAGGCAGTGTCAAGCCGCTGTGGTGGGGGGACAACCCAAAAGTCATGATGGGTTTGCAGTTTTATTGCAGTCAAAAGTAAAGGACATATGTCCAGTGCCGTTTCCTCACCTCATTCACTTTGCGTTGTGCCGAGCAAACAACAGACGGGGAGACATTGTTTGGGACGGCGGCTTTGGCGCGTTCCGCATGTTTGAGCGCACCGCTTTGGCCTCCGCGAGAGGCGGCGAGGCTGGACAGAGAGGCGGCTTGTTGGAGAACGCACGCCATTTGCACGAAGTTAAGGATGCTTTGCGACAGAGGGCTCGGAATGAGGGATTAAGGATGATGCTAGAGGACACAGGTTCAAATGCTGTGGTGCTCCAAAAGAATGCACTTCTGGTCGGAGCGGATGGGAGATGGAATAGGCTTACGGTGTATGTTCAAGGAATGTAAATGGGCTGGAAGCTGTGGAGAATTTCTGGTAATTTTGAAGGTCGTGTTTCGGTGAAGTGACTTCGTGTTTTTAGCGGATTCATTTGACGTAAGTTAGCGTCGGGATTGACCATTGCAACACAGCAAGTCAACCGTGGTGGTGACAACGGGTGTCGGACGCAGAGTCCTTCCAGCGTGCAGTGTCAGCGTGTGATGTGTTTAGTGTACACGCCCTGAAGAATGCGAAGAGGCTTGTTGCGCCGAGGAATGAGAAAGGCAGATCATCCAGGCGTGGATGAGACTAGATTCTGATTGCGAGTCGCTGCCTGGTCTTGTGGCTGAGCTGTGCGCGTCGTCAAAAGCCGATGGGGTTCCGTTCCACGCTGTTTCCTTTTCATTCGCTTCAGAGGATTTGCCACGAGAGAAGCTGGTTACGGGGCGTCAGCAAAGATCAGACGTGGGATAATCTTGACGGAAGTACGACCCTTCCCCATACCCTTCATCGTAACATTAATATTTACCGATATGTGTATCTTCACTAGCTCATTCATGTCACGTAATTTCTTCATTCAAGCCTCCATGCACAAGGCTAGCGTATGTTTGTTTAAGGAATCAGGAGGTTCTAATAATTCCGAGTTTACACATGCTACCTTCCATGGATATGCAATGCAGCTCCAAGCAACTGGGACAATAAGGCTGCTTCTACCGCGAGAAAGAGAAAAAGCCTGGTCACGTTGCTATGCACAGGAGGACGGCGGTACGGAGATATACAACACCACAAATCATGTGAGGGAGTCCATATAGTCCAACAGCAGCTCCTTCACAGCTCCTCTGTCCGGCATGCGGTTACCAGCGCCATAGATGGGAGCCATGCCTTCAGATGAAGGGGAGGGTGATGAGCGCACCTGAGAATGGTGGGGGAAGAGGGGGTTGGTGGGAGAAGGGGTGAGAGGAGGATGAGGAGGAGAGGGCGCACGAGGTGGGGATGAAAGAAAGTGGAGATTGGAGACATACAGGCAGGGATGAGGGAGAGGAGTAGGATTTGTTACACGAGGCTCTGGTATAATCAGGATACCCCTCAAGCCCAGTATGGTTTGTTCTGCTCGTGCTGCTGCCAGAACCCCCGTCACGCACATCCAAGCATGCATGGCTGTCCTCCCCATTCCTTCCCCCCTCTTCCCCCTCAGCTGCGCACACCACCAACCCCCCATATTCACCCCTCACTCCACTCCCTCCCCCAGCCCTCTCTCCCCTCCCAAACCCCACTCCCCCTCACCTCACCTCATCCACAGCAGCCTGTAGGTCCGTCAGGAAGGCATTCTCTCAGATTCCCCCCCTTACTCCTTCCTCCCCACGCCCCCCCTCCCCCTCACCTCATCCGCAGCTGTCTGTAGGTCTGCCAGGAAAGCATCCACAACTACCCTCATCTCTATCCCCAATCCCGGCCCCCCAGCCTTCCTTCCCTCCTGACCTCCTAGCCTTCCTAGCCTTCCTTCCCTCCTGACCTCCTAGCCTTCCTAGCCTTCCTTCCCTCCTGACCTCCTAGCCTTCCCAGCCTTCCTTCCCTCCTGGCCCCCCAGCCTTTCCCCCAAACCTCCCCTCTCCCCCCTCACCCCTCCCCTCCCCCTCACCTCATCCACAGCAGCCTGTAGGTCTTCCAGGAAAGCATCCACCACGCCCACATGCTGCAGCGTCACACACAGGTGAATGCTGTGTTGGGAGGGGTGGGGAGCGGTGAGGGGTGGAGGCAGGGGAGTGGTGGGGCGATTAGTGTGGAGATCAAAGCTGCAGCGTCACACACGGGTAAATGTTGCAAGTTGGAAGGGGTGGAGAGTGATGGAGGGGCGTGGAGCAGGGTGAAAGCGGGTGGTAGGGAGATTAGTCTAAGCCACATGCTGCAGCGTCACACATGGGTGAATGCTGCATGTTTGGAGGGGTGGGGAGCGGTGGAAGGGGTGGAGGGCCAGTCAGCCTTTCACCACAAACTGCAGTGTTGCACACAGGAGAATGCAGCATGCCAGATGCGGGATATGGAGGGGCGCGGAGGGGTAAGGAGGGAGTGCAGGGGCATGCGGGGTGGTGGAGAGGGGTGCAAAGGGGTGGAGGGGCATTCACCTGGCGGGTTTATGCAGGGCGGAGAGGGCCCATCCCTTGCTGGACATGGCATCATTCACCCGGTAAATGTCCAGCTCATCAGATGCCATTGCTATAACTGTCATGTCCGGCTTTTGAGACGCCTCAAAACTCACCTGGCTGGTTTGTGCAGGGCGGAGAGGGCCCATCCCTTGCTGGACATGGCATCATTCACCCGGTAAATGTCCAACTCATCGGATGTCATTGCTATGACTGTCATGTCCGGTTCCCCCACCACCTGCAGTCCCTTTATGCGCGATACTCTGGTGGGGGTGTGTGCGTGGTGGGAGGCGGGGAGGGAGTGGATGATTTCAAATATGTCTCAAAAGCCAGCGCTGCCGCTATACACATGTGGCATCCCCACCACTGGCAGTTTCTGTACAAGTGATACTCTGGGTTTTGTGCGTGCGTGTGTGGGAGGGGTTGGAAGGGGTAACGACAGAGAACAGACACGCAAGGGCTGACAGAGAAGGTGGAGAGAATGATTGGGGAAAGGGAAAAGAGGCTCAGATGTCATGTCGCCACACCAGAAAAGAGAAAGGAGGAGGGAAGGACACACTGCGGTGCACAAATCCGTAGGCCCCTTCCCTTTGAGAATTCTCAAAAGCGATTCTCTTCCCCCACAAGAAATCTTCACCACACCCTCGAGCATTCCACAAAGAACCAACCATTCGCAGACCCACCAGCCCACCTACCCTGCCACGATTGCTTTTGATGCCTCCATGAGTCGTTTTGTGATGTCCATGTAGCCTGACGGCGCAGGGAATAGGTGAGGGAGAAGCAGATGGAGGGGGGAGGAGGAGGAGGGGGAGGAGAAGGGCATCAAAACAAGTAGCAGAGGCACAAAACAGCAGCAGAGGCAAACAGCTAAATACTGCAAGGCACACAGCAGCACCTCGCAACGCACTCTACCCACACACCGCGCCCCACACCACACCCGAACCACCACGCCATCCCACACTCCACACACAACTGCAAACCCCGCATCCCACCACACCCTACCGCACCCCACCCACCCTGCATGCCGATACTCCGCATGGCTGCCCAGGCGCCAGCAATGAGAGCACCGGAGCGACTGCCAGAGACAGTGGGAGAGACATAGAGCCCACCACTCCACTCCGTCACTGTGCACAGAGCGCAGGGGGCAAGGGGATGGGGGAGATTGGCAGGGGGAAGAGGGGAGGGGGGCGGGAGAAAGGGGATCAGGAGAGGAGCCATGGGCCGGGGGGAAGGAGTAGGGGGCAAGGCGCAGGGCGCAGGGGGCGAAATAGCGGGCATGGGGCAGGGTAGTAAAGCTGAAGGGGAGTTGATGTTATGATCAGGAGGAGGCGGAGGAGTGCCTCAACACTCAACCCTCGACCCTTCAGGGGGAAGCGGGCATGGGGCAGGGTGGTAAAGCTGATGTTAAAAGCAGGAGGAGGCAGAGGAGTGCTTCTAACATCAATCACCATCCTCCTCCTGCTCCTCCTCTGCCTCCTCCTGTGGAATGGTGATTGATCGATGGATGGTGTGACAACTCCCACTGCGATAACCCCGAGACGTGGAGACGATGTAGCACACATGGCAGCACGCATGGAAGCACGCGTAGCAGGAAATGCGTTGTAGCTTCTACGAGCGTCCGCCAGGCACTCACCGGCGCAGAATTGATGCTGATGGCACGTTGACACCATACGACACGACATGGCGCATCAGCGTTGGCCAAAGCGCGTTGGTGTTGGGGGGGGAAGGGGAGAGAGACATGGGAGCAACGCAAGCAAGAAGTGGAAAGAAGAGAGAGGGCAGGTGAGGCAAGGACAGGGGTCAGGCAAAGGCGAGAGTGGAAGAGAGAGAGAGCAACACTGTGAGAGGGACAAACATATGCATCATGATATATGTGTGTATACACATTTGCATACCCACCCCTCCCACCCTGTCCCCTCACCTTCCTGATATCTCTGTTGAGATAAAGCACCACGGACGTGCCTTAGGGTGCAGCACTCCATCTCAACACATCCAACACCCATTCCCCCCTCCCCTCCATCCTCCCCATACCCCTCCCCCACCGCCCGCTCACCTTCCTGGTCTCCCTGTTCTGATACAGCACCACGGACGTGCCCTTGGGAGCGGTGTCAGTCCCCCCATCCGCATCACCCTTCGCCTTCTCAGTCCCCCCCACTTCTCAGTCCCCACCTCCCCTGCTTCCTCATCTTCCTGATCTCTCGGTTCCGGTACAGCACAACGGACGTGCCCTTGGCAGCGCCATCAAAAGGCAACCACCATGCATTCCCCCTAACCGCATACCACCCCCCAGCCCACACTCCCTCACCTTCCTGATCTCTCGGTTCCGGTACAGCACCACCGACGTGCCCTTGGGAGCGAGGCCGTACTTGTGGACGTCCACAGACATGGACGTCACTCCAGGCACTGAGAAGTCAAAGGGCGGGAGGGGGTAGCTGGGGGGAACGGGGGAGAGGGAAGGTGGCGGGTGTGTGTGAGGCGTGATAGTGTGTTGGGGCTGCCCTTGGGAGCAAGCGAGGCCGTGCTTATGGCAGTCCACAGACATGGACGTCACTCCAGGCACTGAGAAGTCAAAGGGCGGGAGGGGGTAGCTGGGGGGAACGGGGGAGAGGGAAGGTGGCGGGTGTGTGTGAGGCGTGATAGTGTGTTGGGGCTGCCCTTGGGAGCAAGCGAGGCCGTGCTTATGGCAGTCCACTGACATGGACGTCACTCCAGGCACCGAGAAGTCAAAGGGCGGGAGGGGGTAGCTGGGGGGAACGGGGGAGAGGGAAGGTGGCGGGTGTGTGTGAGGCGTGATAGTGTGTTGGGGCTGCCCTTGGGAGCAAGCGAGGCCGTGCTTATGGCAGTCCACAGACATGGACGTCACTCCAGGCACTGAGAAGTCAAAGGGCGGGAGGGGGTAGCTGGGGGGAACGGGGGAGAGGGAAGGTGGCGGGTGTGTGTGAGGCGTGATAGTGTGTTGGGGCTGCCCTTGGGAGCAAGCGAGGCCGTGCTTATGGCAGTCCACTGACATGGACGTCACTCCAGGCACCGAGAAGTCAAAGGGCGGGAGGGGGTAGCTGGGGGGAACGGGGGAGAGGGAAGGTGGCGGGTGTGTGTGAGGCGTGATAGTGTGTTGGGGCTGCCCTTGGGAGCAAGCGAGGCCGTGCTTATGGCAGTCCACAGACATGGACGTCACTCCAGGCACCGAGAAGTCAAAGGGCGGGAGGGGGTAGCTGGGGGGAACGGGGGAGAGGGAAGGTGGCGGGTGTGTGTGAGGCGTGATAGTGTGTTGGGGCTGCCCTTGGGAGCAAGCGAGGCCGTGCTTATGGCAGTCCACAGACATGGACGTCACTCCAGGCACTGAGAAGTCAAAGGGCGGGAGGGGGTAGCTGGGGGGAACGGGGGAGAGGGAAGGTGGCGGGTGTGTGTGAGGCGTGATAGTGTGTTGGGGCTGCCCTTGGGAGCAAGCGAGGCCGTGCTTATGGCAGTCCACAGACATGGACGTCACTCCAGGCACTGAGAAGTCAAAGGGCGGGAGGGGGTAGCTGGGGGGAACGGGGGAGAGGGAAGGTGGCGGGTGTGTGTGAGGCGTGATAGTGTGTTGGGGCTGCCCTTGGGAGCAAGCGAGGCCGTGCTTATGGCAGTCCACTGACATGGACGTCACTCCAGGCACCGAGAAGTCAAAGGGCGGGAGTGGGTAGCTGGGGGGAACGGGGGAGAGGGAAGGTGGCGGGTGTGTGTGAGGCGTGATAGTGTGTTGGGGCTGCCCTTGGGAGCAAGCGAGGCCGTGCTTATGGCAGTCCACAGACATGGACGTCACTCCAGGCACCGAGAAGTCAAAGGGCGGGAGGGGGTAGCTGGGGGGAACGGGGGAGAGGGAAGGTGGCGGGTGTGTGTGAGGCGTGATAGTGTGTTGGGGCTGCCCTTGGGAGCAAGCGAGGCCGTGCTTATGGCAGTCCACTGACATGGACGTCACTCCAGGCACTGAGAAGTCAAAGGGCGGGAGGGTGTAGCTGGGGGGAACGGGGGAGAGGGAAGGTGGCGGGTGTGTGTGAGGCGTGATAGTGTGTTGGGGCTGCCCTTGGGAGCAAGCGAGGCCGTGCTTATGGCAGTCCACAGACATGGACGTCACTCCAGGCACTGAGAAGTCAAAGGGCGGGAGGGGGTAGCTGAGGGGAACGGGGGAGAGGGAAGGTGGCGGGTGTGTGTGAGGCGTGATAGTGTGTTGGGGCTGCCCTTGGGAGCAAGCGAGGCCGTGCTTATGGCAGTCCACTGACATGGACGTCACTCCAGGCACCGAGAAGTCAAAGGGCGGGAGGGGGTAGCTGGGGGGAACGGGGGAGAGGGAAGGTGGCGGGTGTGTGTGAGGCGTGATAGTGTGTTGGGGCTGCCCTTGGGAGCAAGCGAGGCCGTGCTTATGGCAGTCCACAGACATGGACGTCACTCCAGGCACTGAGAAGTCAAAGGGCGGGAGGGGGTAGCTGGGGGGAACGGGGGAGAGGGAAGGTGGCGGGTGTGTGTGAGGCGTGATAGTGTGTTGGGGCTGCCCTTGGGAGCAAGCGAGGCCGTGCTTATGGCAGTCCACTGACATGGACGTCACTCCAGGCACCGAGAAGTCAAAGGGCGGGAGGGGGTAGCTGGGGGGAACGGGGGAGAGGGAAGGTGGCGGGTGTGTGTGAGGCGTGATAGTGTGTTGGGGCTGCCCTTGGGAGCAAGCGAGGCCGTGCTTATGGCAGTCCACAGACATGGACGTCACTCCAGGCACTGAGAAGTCAAAGGGCGGGAGGGGGTAGCTGGGGGGAACGGGGGAGAGGGAAGGTGGCGGGTGTGTGTGAGGCGTGATAGTGTGTTGGGGCTGCCCTTGGGAGCAAGCGAGGCCATGCTTATGGCAGTCCACTGACATGGACGTCACTCCAGGCACTGAGAAGTCAAAGGGCGGGAGGGGGTAGCTGGGGGGAACGGGGGAGAGGGAAGGTGGCGGGTGTGTGTGAGGCGTGATAGTGTGTTGGGGCTGCCCTTGGGAGCAAGCGAGGCCGTGCTTATGGCAGTCCACAGACATGGACGTCACTCCAGGCACCGAGAAGTCAAAGGGCGGGAGGGGGTAGCTGGGGGGAACGGGGGAGAGGGAAGGTGGCGGGTGTGTGTGAGGCGTGATAGTGTGTTGGGGCTGCCCTTGGGAGCAAGCGAGGCCGTGCTTATGGCAGTCCACTGACATGGACGTCACTCCAGGCACTGAGAAGTCAAAGGGCGGGAGGGGGTAGCTGGGGGGAACGGGGGAGAGGGAAGGTGGCGGGTGTGTGTGAGGCGTGATAGTGTGTTGGGGCTGCCCTTGGGAGCAAGCGAGGCCGTGCTTATGGCAGTCCACTGACATGGACGTCACTCCAGGCACTGAGAAGTCAAAGGGCGGGAGGGTGTAGCTGGGGGGAACGGGGGAGAGGGAAGGTGGCGGGTGTGTGTGAGGCGTGATAGTGTGTTGGGGCTGCCCTTGGGAGCAAGCGAGGCCGTGCTTATGGCAGTCCACAGACATGGACGTCACTCCAGGCACTGAGAAGTCAAAGGGCGGGAGGGGGTAGCTGAGGGGAACGGGGGAGAGGGAAGGTGGCGGGTGTGTGTGAGGCGTGATAGTGTGTTGGGGCTGCCCTTGGGAGCAAGCGAGGCCGTGCTTATGGCAGTCCACTGACATGGACGTCACTCCAGGCACCGAGAAGTCAAAGGGCGGGAGGGGGTAGCTGGGGGGAACGGGGGAGAGGGAAGGTGGCGGGTGTGTGTGAGGCGTGATAGTGTGTTGGGGCTGCCCTTGGGAGCAAGCGAGGCCGTGCTTATGGCAGTCCACAGACATGGACGTCACTCCAGGCACTGAGAAGTCAAAGGGCGGGAGGGGGTAGCTGGGGGGAACGGGGGAGAGGGAAGGTGGCGGGTGTGTGTGAGGCGTGATAGTGTGTTGGGGCTGCCCTTGGGAGCAAGCGAGGCCGTGCTTATGGCAGTCCACTGACATGGACGTCACTCCAGGCACCGAGAAGTCAAAGGGCGGGAGGGGGTAGCTGGGGGGAACGGGGGAGAGGGAAGGTGGCGGGTGTGTGTGAGGCGTGATAGTGTGTTGGGGCTGCCCTTGGGAGCAAGCGAGGCCGTGCTTATGGCAGTCCACAGACATGGACGTCACTCCAGGCACTGAGAAGTCAAAGGGCGGGAGGGGGTAGCTGGGGGGAACGGGGGAGAGGGAAGGTGGCGGGTGTGTGTGAGGCGTGATAGTGTGTTGGGGCTGCCCTTGGGAGCAAGCGAGGCCATGCTTATGGCAGTCCACTGACATGGACGTCACTCCAGGCACTGAGAAGTCAAAGGGCGGGAGGGGGTAGCTGGGGGGAACGGGGGAGAGGGAAGGTGGCGGGTGTGTGTGAGGCGTGATAGTGTGTTGGGGCTGCCCTTGGGAGCAAGCGAGGCCGTGCTTATGGCAGTCCACTGACATGGACGTCACTCCAGGCACTGAGAAGTCAAAGGGCGGGAGGGGGTAGCTGGGGGGAACGGGGGAGAGGGAAGGTGGCGGGTGTGTGTGAGGCGTGATAGTGTGTTGGGGCTGCCCTTGGGAGCAAGCGAGGCCGTGCTTATGGCAGTCCACTGACATGGACGTCACTCCAGGCACTGAGAAGTCAAAGGGCGGGAGGGGGTAGCTGGGGGGAACGGGGGAGAGGGAAGGTGGCGGGTGTGTGTGAGGCGTGATAGTGTGTTGGGGCTGCCCTTGGGAGCAAGCGAGGCCGTGCTTATGGCAGTCCACTGACATGGACGTCACTCCAGGCACCGAGAAGTCAAAGGGCGGGAGGGGGTAGCTGGGGGGAACGGGGGAGAGGGAAGGTGGCGGGTGTGTGTGAGGCGTGATAGTGTGTTGGGGCTGCCCTTGGGAGCAAGCGAGGCCGTGCTTATGGCAGTCCACTGACATGGACGTCACTCCAGGCACTGAGAAGTCAAAGGGCGGGAGGGGGTAGCTGGGGGGAACGGGGGAGAGGGAAGGTGGCGGGTGTGTGTGAGGCGTGATAGTGTGTTGGGGCTGCCCTTGGGAGCAAGCGAGGCCGTGCTTATGGCAGTCCACAGACATGGACGTCACTCCAGGCACCGAGAAGTCAAAGGGCGGGAGGGGGTAGCTGGGGGGAACGGGGGAGAGGGAAGGTGGCGGGTGTGTGTGAGGCGTGATAGTGTGTTGGGGCTGCCCTTGGGAGCAAGCGAGGCCGTGCTTATGGCAGTCCACTGACATGGACGTCACTCCAGGCACCGAGAAGTCAAAGGGCGGGAGGGGGTAGCTGGGGGGAACGGGGGAGAGGGAAGGTGGCGGGTGTGTGTGAGGCGTGATAGTGTGTTGGGGCTGCCCTTGGGAGCAAGCGAGGCCGTGCTTATGGCAGTCCACTGACATGGACGTCACTCCAGGCACCGAGAAGTCAAAGGGCGGGAGTGGGTAGCTGGGGGGAACGGGGGAGAGGGAAGGTGGCGGGTGTGTGTGAGGCGTGATAGTGTGTTGGGGCTGCCCTTGGGAGCAAGCGAGGCCGTGCTTATGGCAGTCCACTGACATGGACGTCACTCCAGGCACCGAGAAGTCAAAGGGCGGGAGTGGGTAGCTGGGGGGAACGGGGGAGAGGGAAGGTGGCGGGTGTGTGTGAGGCGTGATAGTGTGTTGGGGCTGCCCTTGGGAGCAAGCGAGGCCGTGCTTATGGCAGTCCACTGACATGGACGTCACTCCAGGCACCGAGAAGTCAAAGGGCGGGAGGGGGTAGCTGGGGGGAACGGGGGAGAGGGAAGGTGGCGGGTGTGTGTGAGGCGTGATAGTGTGTTGGGGCTGCCCTTGGGAGCAAGCGAGGCCGTGCTTATGGCAGTCCACAGACATGGACGTCACTCCAGGCACTGAGAAGTCAAAGGGCGGGAGGGGGTAGCTGGGGGGAACGGGGGAGAGGGAAGGTGGCGGGTGTGTGTGAGGCGTGATAGTGTGTTGGGGCTGCCCTTGGGAGCAAGCGAGGCCGTGCTTATGGCAGTCCACAGACATGGACGTCACTCCAGGCACCGAGAAGTCAAAGGGCGGGAGGGGGTAGCTGGGGGGAACGGGGGAGAGGGAAGGTGGCGGGTGTGTGTGAGGCGTGATAGTGTGTTGGGGCTGCCCTTGGGAGCAAGCGAGGCCGTGCTTATGGCAGTCCACTGACATGGACGTCACTCCAGGCACCGAGAAGTCAAAGGGCGGGAGGGGGTAGCTGGGGGGAACGGGGGAGAGGGAAGGTGGCGGGTGTGTGTGAGGCGTGATAGTGTGTTGGGGCTGCCCTTGGGAGCAAGCGAGGCCGTGCTTATGGCAGTCCACTGACATGGACGTCACTCCAGGCACCGAGAAGTCAAAGGGCGGGAGTGGGTAGCTGGGGGGAACGGGGGAGAGGGAAGGTGGCGGGTGTGTGTGAGGCGTGATAGTGTGTTGGGGCTGCCCTTGGGAGCAAGCGAGGCCGTGCTTATGGCAGTCCACTGACATGGACGTCACTCCAGGCACCGAGAAGTCAAAGGGCGGGAGGGGGTAGCTGGGGGGAACGGGGGAGAGGGAAGGTGGCGGGTGTGTGTGAGGCGTGATAGTGTGTTGGGGCTGCCCTTGGGAGCAAGCGAGGCCGTGCTTATGGCAGTCCACTGACATGGACGTCACTCCAGGCACTGAGAAGTCAAAGGGCGGGAGGGGGTAGCTGGGAGAGGCGGAGGGGAAGGGGTATGGGGGGAGTGGGGGGAAGGTGGCGGGTGTGTGGGGGAGGGAAGGCGTGGAAGTGTGTTAGAGGTTGCCCTTAGGAGCGAGGCCGTACTTATGGCAGACTGAAACTCCACAGACAAGGACGTCACTCCAGGGACCGTAAAGTCCAAGGGCGGGAGGGGGTAGCTGGGGATGGGGTGAAGGAGCGGGGGGCAGAGAGGCGGAGAACGCAGAGCCTGTGGGAGAGAATGCACAGGGGGGAGGTGGGGAGGAAGGTGGGCGGGAAAATGGGAGGAAGGAGGAAGAGGGGGCAGAGGTGAAGGAGAAGCAAAGAGCAGTGAAAGGAATAGCAGGAGGTAGATAGAGGTAAATCAGAGAGGCCGTGGGATGGGGATGGATGGAGAGCAAGACTCGCGTGGGAGGCGGACGGGGGGGGTGAGGGCAATGGGAACGGGGCGAGGGTAAGGGGAAGGGGGACGGGGTAGTTGGAGGAGAACGAGATGAGACAGGAGGAGAGTAAAAGAGAAGTAAGGGTGGAAGAGAAGGCGGAAAGGGAAGAGGGGAAGGTGGAAGGGAAGGGGAGAGGGGAAGGCGGAAAGGGAGGGGAGAGGATAAGACAGAATGGAAGGGGAGAGGGGAAGGCGGAAGGAAAGGGGAGAGGATAAGACAGAATGGAAGGGGAGAGGGGAAGGCGGAAAGGAATGGGAGAGGATAAGACAGAATGGAAGGGGAGAGGGGAAGGCGGAAGGGAAGGGGAGAGGATAAGACAGAATGGAAGGGGAGAGGGGAAGGCGGAAGGGAAGGGGAGAGGGGTCGGCGGAAGGGACCAGGGACCCACCCGAGCTTCTTAGCAAAGGGCAGCACGAAGCCTCCGAGGCAGCAGTCCACATGCAGACACGTGCCCCAGCGCAACGCCATCTCGCCCAACTCCTGCCGTGGCCCGGGGGGTTGGGGGGGGGGGGGGGGTGGGGGGTTGCAATGCAGGGGGGGATGGGGAGGGCAGCGGGGAGGATTTGAAGAGGAAGAATTGGTTGATTTTGCAGCAGGCTACGTGCACTGCCAGACAGATACGTGGCTCCATGCGCTGCTATCTCTTTCCAGCTGCTGCAGGCGGGGAGGAGTGGAAAGTCTGTGTGCTGTGCCTGCAGCTGTCTTGAGTACAAAAATGCTCTGAGTCGACTAGTGGGAGAAGTGGAGCAGAGAAGTTGTGAGAAGTTGTGAGCATGTGTGAGATAGGAAGGTAGCAAGGGTGCAATGGGCAGGCATACCGGAATAGGGTCGATGATGCCATGTGGAAAGCCAGGCGCTGATGCCACTATCTGCACGGGGGAGGAAGCGGAGGGAGAGGAAGGAAAGGGGAGGAGAGGGAGGAGGGTGAGAAGAGGGAGAAGAGGGAGAAGAGGGAGGAAAGGGAGGAGACCCCCTTCAGCAATCACGGGAAGGCAGCAATGGGTGAAGGAGGGCAAGAATGGGCAGTGGGAGCCGGCTGTTGATACCAGAGATTGCCAGAGCAAGGACACGCAGTGATCGCAAGCCCACAGCCCACAGCTGCCACCAGCCCACAGCCTCTCACCAGCACAGTGTTGCGGGAGCAGAGGCTCCGCACTGCATCCACCTCCACTGCAGGGGCTGATGATACCTTGATACCCAACCATGGAATATCAACAGCTGAACTGGTACTCACCGGCCCGCAGCCCTCGCAAGCCCACACGCACACAGAAGTCACCAGCACGGTGTTGCGGGAGCAGAGGTGCCGCACTGCGTCCACCTCCACACACCAGCCGCTGATACTGCCACATGCAAAGGACTAACACATGCACCGACAGCCCAGCCCACACAGAGAGCGCCCACAAGCCCACAGCGCTCACCAGCCCACAGCCCTCACCAGCACAGTGTTGCGGGAGCAGAGGCGCCGCACTGCATCCACCTCCACACACCAGTCGACAATACTGCCGCACGCGAAGGCCCAACACACACACAGCTCTCCCAGCCCAAAGCTTTCACCAATACGCACACAGCCCACACACAGCCCCTCACCAGCACGGTGTTGCGGGAGCAGAGGCGCTGCACTGCATCCACCTCCAGTGCAGGATTTGAGGATACCCAACCATAAAATGTCAACACCAGATTCTCACCAGCCCACAACACACACTGAACTCTCACCAGCACGGTGTTGCGGGAGCAGAGGCGCCGCACTGCATCCACCTCCACACACCAGTCGTCCGCCACGGGGGCTCGCAGCAAGTGCACCTGGAAATACTCCGCTGCCTTGTCGTACGCTGCATGCGCTGATACGGGTACTATCCTGTGTGGTGGGGGGTGTGTGAGTGAGTAGGAGAGGAAGAGGTGGCAGAAGGGCAGTTGGAGAAGTGAAAGAAGACTGTGTCCCCTCTCCGTCTGCCACGGGGGCTCGCAGCAGGTGCACCTGAAAATACTCTGCAGCCTTGTCGTACGCTGCATGCGCTGATACTGGCACTATCCTGTGGGAGGAGTGTGGGGGAGGGTGGTGTGTGTGGGTGGTGTTTGGGTGTGGGAGGGTGGGAGGGAGTGGGTGGGCTCGCAGCAGGTGCACCTGAAAATACTCTGCAGCCTTGTCGTACGCTGCATGCGCTGATACTGGCACTATCCTGTGAGGTTGGTGCGTGGGTGTGTGCGTGCGTGCGGGTGAATGGTTGGGGGAGGGGATTGAGACAATGAGGTTAGTACAGCAAGTGCACGTGAAAATACTCTGCTGCCTTGTCGTACGCTGCATGCGCTGACACGGGTACTATCCTGTGGGGTTGGTGCGTGTGCGAGTGCATGGGCGGGGGAGGAGAGGGAGACGATGAGGCTAGTGAAGCAGGTGCACGTGGAAGCACTCTGCTGCCTGGTCTTACGCAGCAAGCGCTGATATGGTACTATCCTGAGTGGTGGGGTGAGTGGGTGGTGTGTTGGACCGTGGGCGGGGGAGGGCAGGATGGAGACATTGAGGATGCTAGAGCAGGTGCACATAGAAGCACTCTGCTGCCTTGTCGTACGCAGCGTGTGCCGAGACGGGGTGCAGTGCATGGGTGAACTTTTGAGGCGCCTCAAATCTCTGCTGCCTTGTCATCCGCAGCAAGCGCTGAGACGGGGTGTAGCGCGTGGGTGAATGGGTGGAAGAGGGTAGGAGGGAGAAGAATGGGCTAGTGGAGCAGTTGAAAGGAAGCAGGCAGGCAGAAGGGCAGACGGCAGGGAGAGAAAGAACTACAGTGTCCCCCCTTCATTTGCCATGGGGGCTCGCAGCAGGTGCACCTTTCAGGAAGTACTCAGCAGCACCCAGCAGCAGCACCATCAGCACTCACATCTCAGGTTGCGTGATGCCTTTCTTGGCGCGCATGTAGTCCCTAGCAGCCTTCACAGCCATCAAAATACTCTCCGACCCTCCACTCGTCATGTTCCCACACACCTCCCTCCCCGCCTCTCCCTTCCCTCCCTTCCCCACCTTCGCCCCCGCTTTCCCCGCCACCTTCTCTCCTCCCTGAACCACTTTGTCACTGCTCCCGTTCTCCCCGTTCCCATCTCCTCCCCCTCCCCCCAGCAGCGCAGCAGTCATGGCAACCACCTCGGCCTCGAAGCGAGTGATGCTGGGGAAGACGTCGGGATGCAAGGGGTTGGTGTGCTGGAACCTGCACGATGGGGAGGAGAGGGGGAAGCGAGAAGGGGAGGGGAATGGAGGAGGGAGGCAAAGGGGAAAAAGAACGAGTCAGGCTGGAGAAAAACTAAATCAACTCAAAGTTTCCTGCAGCTTTTGTGGTCTCTCCCCTCTCCTCGCCTCCCCCCCCCTCCCCCCCCTCCAGCAGCGCAGCAGTCATGGCAACCACCTCCGCCTCGAAGCGAGTGATGCTGGGGAAGACGTCTGGATGCAAGGGGTTGGTGTGCTGAAACCTGGGGGATGGAGAGGGTGGGGGGGTGGGAGGACGGGGCGAGAGGGGGGACGGATGGTTAAAGGAAAGAAGAGGGAGAGAGCGAGTGATGCTGGGGAAGACGTCTGGGTGTAGGGGGTTGGTGTGCTGAAACCTGGGCGAGGAGGAGGAGGAGGGTGGAGAAGAGGAGGAGGGTGAGGGGATTCTGTTTCGGACAGCTTGAGAGGGGCTCAATGCTGGGACCCCAAAGGAGACATTGCACCCGTTGATTCCTATCTCATCATGCATCTGGCTGGCCATGGCCTCTGATGTGCTGTGCTGTGCCTCAACAGTCGCACCTGCCCACCCACCCACCCCACCAGGTTACATGGTAATACGGCCTTAAAACCCTCTTTACACCCTCGTAAAACTCTTTCCAACCCTCTTCCACACCTGAACCCAGCCCAGCCAATCACCATGTTCCCACCAGGTGCATGCATGGTGGTACAATCTGACAACCCTCTTACACCCTCTTCCCAACCGCAGGCGCCCACTCACAGGGTGTACGCATCTGATATGAGCTTCTTGTGCTTCTCGTATGACTCTCTTCTCACACACCTTGTGAGGCGTCTCACGACACAAACCCCATACGTTCACTTTCGCTTTACTCACATGGTGTAGGCATCCGATATGAGCTTCATATGCTTCTCGTATGACTCTCCGCCCACATAGCTGGTTAGGGACGAGAGGGGAGGGAAAACGGGAAGAGAGACAGAGAGATTAAAGAGTGTGGAGTGTGGGAGAGTGTGGGAGTGTCTCCCCTGCCTCTCACCCAAACCGAATCCCTATCCCCTCACCACATTCCCCTCATCCCCTCTCCGCCCACTCACACGGTCCCAGAGCACCGCCAATGCCACACCTTGTCCTTAACCCTCAGCACTCACATCTCTCCCATCTCCCCCCAAACCAGGTCCGTATCCCTCAACCACCCCCCTTCCCCTCTTCCGCCCACTCACACGGTCCCAGAGCACCGTCCCTGCCACTGCTTGTCCTTGTCCCTCAGTGCGCGCATCTCCCCCAGCACCTCCTCCGCCAACCAGGCCTGTACCCGCCCACCACATCTCCCCCAAGCCACTCTCTATCCCCTCTTCCGCCCACTCACACGGTCCCAGAGCATCGCCCCTGCCACTGCTTGTCCTTATCCCTCAGTGCGCGCATCTCCCCCAGCACCTCGTCCGCCTCTGCGCCCACGTCTGGCAGCCTCTTCCGCCACTGCGCGCGCTCCTTGCTGCTGCTGCCGCCCCCCGTTATCTGCGCCCTGGCCTGCAGGCGCGAGGGGAGGAAGTGGGAATCAGGCACAAAAAGATGCTACTATCTGCAGCTTCTGCTGCAACCGCTGCTGCTCGGGAATGTGCACACTGGCCTGCAAGAAAGCGAACATACCCGTGCTATCATGCTCTCGCATACCTTCGCCTGTTGCTCTTCTACGTAAGCCCTCACGCCTGGAAGAAGCCTGGCGAGACAGACACAGTTGAGAGTTGTGAGGGAGGGGCGGGAGAGAGAGTGAGTGAGAGGAAGAGGATACGCGGAAGGGTGCGAGTGAATGAGAGTAGGAGGAAGAGAGGGGGATACATGTGAGAGGGGGAGTGCAATACTTTTGAAAAGAAATGAGCGTTACTAGCATGTAACAGCTGAATGAATGAAGGGATGAGTGAATGGGCGAATGAGTGAACGAAAGCACAAGAACTCCTGCACGCCTGAAACGAGTGGTGCACTAGCGAGTCACAGGACGAGACGAGCGGCTCACCTGATGAGGGAGAAGAAGAGGGCAGTAAGAGTCGGTACTAGGCCTGGTAGACGGACGACACGCAACAAGCAAGGAGCATGGAGAGATGCGAGGATGGGATGGGATGGGATGGGATGGGATGGGATGGGATGGGATGGGATGGGATGGGATGGGATGGGATGGGATGGGATGGGATGGGATGGGATGGGATGGGATGGGATGGGATGGGATGGGATGGAATGGGATGGGATGGGATGGGATGGGATGGGATGGGATGGGATGGGATGGGATGGGATGGGATGGGATGGGATGGGATGGGATGGGATGGGATGGGATGGGATGGGATGGGATGGGATGGGATGGGATGGGATGCGATGGGATGGGATGGGATGGGATGGGATGGGATGGGATGGGATGGGATGGGATGGGATGGGATGCGATGCGATGCGATGCGATGCGATGCGATGCGATGCGATGCGATGCGATGCGATGCGATGGGATGGGATGCGATGGGATGCGATGGGATGCGATGGGATGGGATGGGATGGGATGGGATGGGATGGGATGGGATGGGATGGGATGGGATGGGATGCGATGGGATGCGATGGGATGGGATGGGATGGGATGGGATGGGATGGGATGGGATGGGATGGGATGGGATGGGATGGGATGGGATGGGATGGGATGGGATGGGATGGGATGGGATGGGATGGGATGGGATGGGATGGGATGGGATGGGATGGGATGGGATGGGATGCGATGGGATGGGATGGGATGGGATGGGATGCGATGGGATGGGATGGGATGGGATGCGATGGGATGCGATGGGATGCGATGGGATGGGATGGGATGGGATGCGATGGGATGCGATGGGATGCGATGGGATGCGATGGGATGCGATGGGATGCGATGGGATGGGATGGGATGGGATGGGATGGGATGGGATGGGATGGGATGGGATGGGATGGGATGGGATGGGATGGGATGGGATGGGATGGGATGGGATGGGATGGGATGGGATGGGATGGGATGGGATGGGATGCGATGGGATGCGATGCGATGCGATGCGATGCGATGCGATGCGATGCGATGCGATGCGATGCGATGCGATGCGATGCGATGCGATGCGATGCGATGCGATGCGATGCGATGCGATGCGATGCGATGCGATGCGATGCGATGCGATGCGATGCGATGCGATGCGATGCGATGCGATGCGATGCGATGCGATGCGATGGGATGGGATGGGATGGGATGCGATGGGATGCGATGGGATGGGATGGGATGGGATGGGATGCGATGGGATGCGATGGGATGCGATGGGATGCGATGGGATGCGATGGGATGGGATGGGATGGGATGGGATGCGATGGGATGCGATGGGATGCGATGGGATGGGATGGGATGGGATGGGATGCGATGGGATGCGATGGGATGGGATGGGATGGGATGGGATGGGATGGGATGGGATGGGATGGGATGGGATGGGATGGGATGGGATGGGATGGGATGGGATGGGATGGGATGGGATGGGATGGGATGGGATGGGATGGGATGGGATGGGATGGGATGCGATGCGATGCGATGCGATGCGATGCGATGCGATGCGATGCGATGCGATGCGATGCGATGCGATGCGATGCGATGCGATGCGATGCGATGGGATGGGATGGGATGGGATGCGATGGGATGCGATGGGATGGGATGGGATGGGATGGGATGGGATGGGATGGGATGGGATGGGATGGGATGGGATGGGATGGGATGGGATGGGATGGGATGGGATGGGATGGGATGGGATGGGATGGGATGCGATGGGATGCGATGGGATGGGATGGGATGGGATGGGATGGGATGGGATGGGATGGGATGGGATGGGATGGGATGGGATGGGATGGGATGGGATGGGATGGGATGGGATGGGATGGGATGGGATGGGATGGGATGGGATGGGATGGGATGGGATGGGATGGGATGGGATGGGATGGGATGGGATGGGATGGGATGGGATGCGATGCGATGCGATGCGATGCGATGGGATGGGATGGGATGGGATGCGATGGGATGCGATGGGATGGGATGGGATGGGATGGGATGCGATGGGATGCGATGCGATGCGATGCGATGCGATGCGATGCGATGCGATGCGATGCGATGCGATGCGATGCGATGCGATGCGATGCGATGCGATGCGATGCGATGCGATGCGATGCGATGCGATGCGATGCGATGCGATGCGATGCGATGCGATGCGATGCGATGCGATGGGATGGGATGGGATGGGATGCGATGGGATGCGATGGGATGCGATGGGATGCGATGCGATGCGATGCGATGCGATGCGATGCGATGCGATGCGATGCGATGCGATGCGATGCGATGCGATGCGATGCGATGCGATGCGATGCGATGCGATGCGATGCGATGCGATGCGATGCGATGCGATGCGATGCGATGCGATGCGATGCGATGCGATGCGATGCGATGCGATGCGATGCGATGCGATGGGATGGGATGGGATGGGATGCGATGGGATGCGATGGGATGGGATGGGATGGGATGCGATGGGATGGGATGGGATGGGATGGGATGGGATGGGATGGGATGGGATGGGATGGGATGGGATGGGATGGGATGGGATGGGATGGGATGGGATGGGATGGGATGGGATGGGATGGGATGGGATGGGATGGGATGGGATGGGATGGGATGGGATGGGATGGGATGCGATGGGATGCGATGGGATGCGATGGGATGCGATGGGATGCGATGGGATGCGATGGGATGGGATGGGATGGGATGGGATGGGATGGGATGGGATGGGATGGGATGGGATGGGATGGGATGGGATGGGATGGGATGGGATGGGATGGGATGGGATGGGATGGGATGGGATGCGCGATGGGATGCGATGGGATGCGATGGGATGCGATGGGATGCGATGGGATGCGATGGGATGCGATGGGATGCGATGGGATGGGATGGGATGGGATGGGATGGGATGGGATGGGATGCGATGGGATGCGATGGGATGCGATGGGATGCGATGGGATGGGATGGGATGGGATGGGACGCGATGGGACGGGATGGGACGGGATGGGACGGGATGGGACGGGATGGGACGGGATGGGACGGGATGGGACGGGATGGGATGGGATGGGATGGGATGGGACGGGATGGGACGGGATGGGACGGGATGGGACGGGATGGGACGGGATGGGACGGGATGGGACGCGATGGGACGCGATGGGACGCGATGGGACGCGATGGGATGCGATGGGATGCGATGGGATGCGATGGGATGCGATGGGATGCGATGGGATGGGATGGGATGGGATGGGATGGGATGGGATGGGATGGGATGGGATGGGATGGGATGGGATGGGATGGGATGGGATGCGATGGGATGCGATGGGATGCGATGGGATGCGATGGGATGCGATGGGATGCGATGGGATGGGATGGGATGGGATGGGATGGGATGGGATGGGATGGGATGGGATGGGATGGGATGGGATGGGATGGGATGGGATGGGATGGGATGGGATGGGATGGGATGGGATGGGATGGGATGCGATGGGATGCGATGGGATGCGATGGGATGGGATGGGATGGGATGGGATGGGATGGGATGGGATGGGATGGGATGGGATGGGATGGGATGGGATGGGATGGGATGGGATGGGATGGGATGGGATGGGATGGGATGGGATGGGATGGGATGGGATGGGATGGGATGGGATGGGATGGGATGGGATGCGATGGGATGCGATGGGATGCGATGGGATGCGATGGGATGCGATGGGATGCGATGGGATGCGATGGGATGCGATGGGATGGGATGGGATGGGATGGGATGGGATGGGATGGGATGGGATGGGATGGGATGGGATGGGATGGGATGGGATGGGATGGGATGGGATGGGATGGGATGGGATGCGATGGGATGCGATGGGATGCGATGGGATGCGATGGGATGCGATGGGATGGGATGGGATGGGATGGGATGGGATGGGATGGGATGGGATGGGATGGGATGGGATGGGATGGGATGGGATGGGATGGGATGGGATGGGATGGGATGGGATGGGATGGGATGGGATGGGATGGGATGGGATGGGATGCGATGGGATGCGATGGGATGGGATGGGATGGGATGGGATGGGATGGGATGGGATGGGATGGGATGGGTTGGGATGGGATGGGATGGGATGGGATGGGATGGGATGGGATGGGATGGGATGGGATGGGATGGGATGGGATGCGATGGGATGCGATGGGATGGGATGGGATGGGATGCGATGGGATGGGATGGGATGGGATGGGATGGGATGGGATGGGATGGGATGGGATGGGATGGGATGGGATGGGATGGGATGGGATGGGATGGGATGGGATGGGATGGGATGGGATGTGATGGGATGGGATGGGATGGGATGGGATGGGATGGGATGGGATGGGATGGGATGGGATGTGATGGGATGGGGGATGGGAGTGACGAAAACGATACATGTGATGAGATGGAGAAGCCAGACTACTATTCTGCATAAAGACCAACGCATAGCCACAAGGGACGGAGGGGTAACGTAACACGGACATGTACCTATCGAGTCGACTCAATGATCAGAACAAAGTTCAAACCTGTAGATGGTGAACGGTAACGGTACCCATAATGAATCTCCTTCACCTACCATTACTGAAGCTTTCAGGTCTGGACTGGTGGGTCTATAAGCCGGACTTTTCCTTGAATATTCACCTCTCGCCGAACCTGCGCGACTTCAGACCGAATCCGCGGAAAGATACCGAATCCGACCGAGTTTAGACCGAATCCGCGCACCTTGATATCGGATCTGCGCAGAAGCAGCACCCGCGAGTTGCGCTAGTTTCCCCGCGACCACCGCCGCGAGCAGCGCCGCCACCAGCAGCTGCAGCGGCTCGACTTTTCCCAGCGCCTCGTTCGCCGCGTCGCGCCACTCCTGCGCCACGGCGAGCGCGGCTTGCGTGCGCGCCTCGAGCGCGCCCCAGTAGCCGTTTTCGGACCAATCATTCATGGGACAGCTTCCGCCGGGGACGGCGCCGTAGTGCGGTAAGGCGGCGACTCGCGGAGCTAATCGGACGGCGATTAGGAGCACGACGAGGAGGACGAGGAGATTAGGGACGGCGCCGCGCGAAAGTAGTGCGGAGGGGAATCGTCGCGAGAGGGATCCGCGGAGTGAGGTGGGGATAGGGAGGGAGGAGAGAGGGGGGATAAAAGAAGAAACGACGACCGCCATGACTAGGCTGTGAAATTTCTCGGGTTTCAGGGAAAACGAGATAACCAGTGTCAAGGGAACGAACGAAGCATCAGTAAAGACACATTTGAGATGCCTTAGTGCCTCGCAATGCCGGAGGCGCTGTGCGCATGAAAATGTAGTCGTCAGCGGAAATGCAGGGAAAAGTTCGAGGAGTCCTGTCCAGCCTAAGAAAGGCGTGAAATGTTCCACGCCATAAAGGCGTGATTACTCCTTTCCTGTCTTGTCTAGGAACCAAGCGCTGACGTGGAGTATGTCGTGGTTTTCGAGGCAGGATCCTTGTCCAGCACAAGAGAACGCCCGCTACAGAGAGCTGCGATTGTCTCATAACAATGAGAATGTGAACATCCAAGCTAATCCAAAGTCAGATGGGAATAGAAACTCTTGAATATAAACAATTGAGTTAAATTCAAGTAGATAATATTTCCTAAAGATAGAATTAAAATATACCTCAATATAATTTGTATAGAAAACATTATAATGGAGATCAATATATTCTCAGTATATAACTTTGAAGGTGCTGAAAGAAAGTGCTGATTTCACTAATTTTGTTTGAACATTCTTTGTAGTGTGTTGTAGTTATATGCGAAATTTTGAACCAAAGCTTCAAACCGAGTCATTCCCGCGCCCCGAGACTGACTCAGTTGTCAGCGCTTTGTGCCACTCTGCTTGCCAGCGTCCTCCAACGGACGCGCCGCGAGCTCCCAAGTCAACTGTTTCTTCCGATCGCATCGCATCCTTTTGCGGATTCTGATGCACGATCTCGATTCCCCCCCGTCCCATCCATCCTCACATTCCCATCCCACACCACAAGCATCACACAAATCGACATTCTCCCATCGTAGCATCTGTGCGCTGCTGCAAGCCAGCAGCCATGTCGGCCTTTACCTCTGTCCGCCGCCGCTTCCAGTGGCGTCCCGTGCAGTCACAACCGCGGGAGCAGCCGCGGACTGTTCAGGAACGAGGCATTCCTAGGAGTCGGGTTGAACAGCCGTAGGACCTTCGAGCCGGCGTCAAAACGTATAACCTGTTGTTTCTCATCCTTATTACACATTCAGTACCGCCTTCGTGCTAGAAATAGGCCTTTGAACAGTCTCGCCCGTGCGAAGCGTTCCCGTCTTACCGATTTGCGAGGATTCGCGTCTATCTAGCCATTTCCATCCCAGAGCGTCACCACACGGTTCGTCCCGCGGATTCGTCGCGCGTCGGGATCTCAGTAGTATTGCGTAGAGGTTTTTTCGGCGAACACTGAGCATGGTGAGAAACCAGAAACTTACTGTTTCGAAAATCTTGATCCGTCAGAAAACGAGCAAAGGAGCGCTCCATACTGCCGCAATATTTTCGTCGACTTCCTCGTTTCGTCGCGCTTTCTGACTTGTAGTCGCGCATGCATCCAGCTAAGATTCGCGATCTGTCTGTCTGCGTTTCAGGGCTTCTCCAGGCTCTTCGGCGGGCACGATCAACCCAAGGCAGCAGGAGCGAAGGTGCGTGCCGCGCGAAACATCAATCCAAGGCAGCTAGATCGCATATTTACTTGTCAGCAGCGTACCGAACTGCTACGAGCGTGCCACCCGCTCGTGGCGCTAACCTCAATCGAATCTAAGCATGTCGCGTATGCACACTATCACTCTGCGCCTGAAGTTGTGTGTACTCAATTCTTTTCTGTTCATGTTGCAGGAAGCACCTACGAAACCTGTTGGCGCTGACGTGCCCTACTGGAAGAAGCTTCCGAGGAGATACGAGCAGCTGAAGCGAAAGGCGGCGGAGGTGCGCCGGCGGAGGGAGCAGCAGGAGAAGCGCGCCAAGCAGCTGGCGCTGCAGCAGGAACGAGCGCAGCAAAAGGTGAAGGAACGGCAGCAGCGAGAGAAGAAACCGGTGAAGTCTCAGCCGCCGCAGCAGCAGCAGCTGCCGCCTAGCATGAGAATGGAGATTTGCGAACAGGAGTGTGTTAGGAAGACTGGTAACGAGCATCCTTGTATGGAGGATCTAATGAGCCCTCGCAGCGTGTGTGATAGTGCTCGTGCTATGGAGCACGGCCAGGCAGCTTAGGATTGGTAGATCTGTAAAAATGCTTGGATAGAATGCTAGGTTTCCCAAAGTAACGGTAATAAGATGGATGGGCGGGTTACTTTTAGCCAGCATGCATACGATACCAATGTCCCTCATTTTGTATTTTTATGCTTGTGAGAATTTAGGTTAATAGTACTGTAACTGTGGGCTGGAGCAGGGGGTTGGATGAAGCCATACATTAGTGTCACTACATGCAGAATACGTACCCTACCGTACTCATCAGTAGAAAAGTTATAAGTTTGCCAAAAGCACCTGCAATGCACAAGACAAGCTTTGATCACTGCAAGGCCGCTTCTGGGGTAACGTATTTTGGCATGCCCACAGCTGAAGTAGTAGCTCACTCACAAATTGAAGTACGGTACATTTACCTGCATTACCTGGCTGAATATTTCACCGGTCACATAGAGCTAATACGTATGGAACGTAGGTAACATACTAGACCAGCATTTATACGGAGAAAAGTAAAAGCAATATATTGAGGAAAGAAACCAGACGCAACAAGTTGACTGAACGTAGTGGTTCAGAAAGAAACCCGCATTCTCTCCTACACCTCCCACACACACAATGTGCATAAAAAGAACCAGATCCTATGCAGCGCTACACACGCAGCTGTGGTTGCTGGTGGACTGCGTTAGCAGGGGGGTACCCTGCGGTGGAAAAAGGTTGTGATGGGTTTGACACGCAGAGGGGGGTGGGTGGTGGTGCTGCTGCCAGGGGCTGCTGGCTGTGCTGGTGGTGGTGTGGCTGGGGCTGCTGCTACTGCTGCTCCTGTGGCTGCTCTTTGTCCTGAAACGAGGGGTCAGTGGGGAGAGATGTTGAAGGTGTATTTAAACGTTTATTATTGAAAACCCATATAGCAGGCATTGTGAGACGGTGGTGTGCTAGATGGCTAAGAAACTGGTGATGATGATGAAGGGAAAGGAGAGAGGAACTCTAGATCACGAAGAGGAGAGCACCCAGGGGAGGGGAGTGAGGGAACCGCGAGGGTCCAGGAAAGCAAGAGCAAGAACGGCTCTGTGTTCGGAAGGGGTAACGGAGGTGGTGGAAGGCGGGAGGGAGGGGAAAGAGAGTGCAGCAGTGCTCACCAGACTCAGCAGGAGGTTTTATCGGAGTAGTGGTTGCATCACCCTTCCCAACAGCCCCTGCCACTGCTGCTGCCCCAGGGATTGTTACCGCATGCCCTGCTGTCGATGCACAGGCGCCACCACCACTGGCAGCCGCTACAGGCCTCTTAAAGCCATTGCCGGCACACACGCCAGAGGGAGGACTCATACACAGGCCTGCACCCAGGGGTGTGAACTGACTCGGCCCTACAGCAGTTGCTACAGCCGCTCCCGCTGTTCTTGCACCAGCCACAGCAGCTGCTGTCGCTGCTGATCCTGTTGCTGCTGTTGGTGTTGCTTGTCGTGGTGATAGTAACCAGGTTGAATGCGGTGCAAAGGGATGTAGGCGAGGCACGGGGAGTAGGATCTGGGTGCTGCTGCCCCATCCAACGGCTCTCCTCTTCCTCCTGTGCTGCACATCGTGATTCTCCCCTGTAGCAGCACTCTCAACTTTCCCACCTTCTCTGCTGCTCTTGTCAGCACCCTCCTCCCTACTGCTATTCTCCTTGACAACCAAATCCGCTGTCTTGTTCTTCTCCTGGACACCCTCTATCTTGTCACTCTCCTTGTCACTCTCCTTGTCACGCTGCTTGTCATCGCCATACCCTGTCTTGCCATCCTGTGTCGTGCCATCTGCTGTCTCCCCACCATCCACCTCCATGCCATCCTGTGCCTTGTTTCCAACGTACCCTCCATCCGCCTCGCCCTTACCCTTACCCTTGTTCAAATCCTGCTCTGTATTCCGCCCCTTTCCTCCTATGCTCCCAGCCATGCCAATCCCTCCCGTGCCTCCTGCACCTCCTGCCTCTACTGTATTATCTGTGTTCCCAGCACTCCCTCCGTTTCCTCCGTTCCCTGTTGTTCCCGAGGCCTTTGTGGGTTCCGAGGTCCCTGTGTCCCCTACAGGCATGGTGCTGCCACTGCGGATTGCGCCAGGCCCTGCCTCTCTCTTGCGCTTGCCGCCCCACTTAGGCAGCACCACATGCTGCTGTGAGGGGGGAGGGGTAGGGGAGAGCGGGGGGAGGGATGGGGAGAGCGGAGGGAGGGGAGAGGAGAGAGAGGAGATGGAAAATAAAGGGGAGGGGAGATGTGAGGGAGGGTTTTCCATAGTGTTTCTGAGACGCGTAACAAAATTGATGAGACCTGCAACACACGCACCTGACGTTTGCGCGGTTGAAAGGGAGATGGAGCGGTGGGAAGGAGTGGCAGGGATATGAGCATGGTTGGCTCAAGCACTTGCACTGCCAGAGCTTGCAGGTACCGCAGATGCTGCTGCTGCTGCTGTTGCTGCTGTTGTTGCGTCTGCTTATCTAGCTTTCCGTCCTCCTGCTTAGCTTTCTCTTGCCCCACCAACTTCTCCCCCCCTTCCTGCTGACCAGCATCACCACCACAAGCAGCAGGAGCAGCAGCAGCGACACCACCAACACCATCACCAGCAGCAGCACCAACAGCAGCAGCAGCAGCGGCAGCAGCAGGAGCAGCAGCAGCAGGAGCAGGAGCGAGAGTGGCAGCAGCAGCAGCAGCACCAGGGAGCGCATGCAGCAGCACAGGTCTACCCACGGCCAGCGCCCTCTGTACTGCCTTTTGCAGCACCTGCACCTGCCAGTCCGCCGGCCGCCCCTCCTCTCCCCCTCTCTCCCCTCTCTCCCCCTTCTCCCCCTTCTCCCCCTTCTCCCCCTTCTCCCCCTCTCGCCTCTCTCCGCTCCCCCTTCACCTGCCGCCCCCCCCGCCCTGCTAGCTGCTGTGGCAGCAGGGGAATCAGGCGCAGCAGCACCACCAGCAGCAGCAGCAGGGAAGCACAGGCACGGGCACAAGCGTCCACCCCTTCATCCTCGGACAGGTACCCATCCGGCACCACGAATCCGTCCTCCTCCTCCTCGTCCTCCCCATCGCCGCCCTCCTCCGGGTCTATCTTATCCAAATCGTCCTCTCCTTCCGAATCCGACAGGCTTTCCCCTGCTGGGTCCTCCTGTTGGGGCAGGTGGGGAGGGGCGAGAGTAGAGGGGGATTGTTGAGTTTTGAGTCGACTAAAAAATCTCCTCCGGGTCTATCTTATCCAAATCGTCCTCTCCTTCGGAATTCGACAGGCTTTCGCCTGCTGGGTCCTCCTGTTGGGAAAAGAAGAGGAGGAAGGGGGAGGGGAGGGGGAGATTGGCGTGGATGGGAAGGGGGAGGTGGCGGGGGGGGGATGGAGATTGCCTGCTTTTTATATAAGCATGCCAATAACAGACAACTTGCTGTTTCCTAAGAATTCTTGTCTCGTTTTACCTGCATCCTCCTCCTGGACACCCACCCTCCCCCCCCCCCCCCCCCCCCGCCCCCCCCCTCCAACTAGTCCCAAATATTCCAGGAAATTTGTAGAAAAAACCCCACAATTTTAGAAGGGGTACCGCGAGACTTGTACCAGACAAGTCGACATACGGGTTGCTTAATTGTTTCCCAGTCATGGTCAATACTGTGGGAGTTGAAATAAAACAGACGTGCAAGACTTGCATGAGGATGCATGGACTAGTTCCTACTCTACCTACTCTCGTTTCTCCAGAAGCGAGAGTCAGACTCATTCCGTTAGATGACGAGAGTCTTACCTCCTCCCACTCTGCCTCGCTGTCCACATCGCAGTTGAGCACAGGGTCCTTACGCCACGGGACGATTCCTCCTTGTCACTGACCAAACACTACTGTTTTACCTCCCCCTTCAAGCGCATGACTCTCACCTCCTCCCACTCGGCCTCGCTGTCCACATCGTAGTTGAGAACAGGGTCCTTGCGCCACGGTGCACGCGGCCTCACCACACCACTGCTGTGCCATGCCATGCCATACCAGGGAATGCCATGCCATGCCATACCAGGGAATGTCATGCCGTGCCATACCAGGGAATGTCATGCCATGCCATACCAGGGAATGCCATGCCATGCCATACCAGGGAATGTCATGCCGTGCCATGCAATGCCATGCAAAGGAATGTCATGGCCATGCCGTGCCATGTCATGCCATACAAGTGAATGCCAGGCCATGCCGCCATACAAGGAAATGTCACACCATGCCATGCCATGCGGTGCCATGCCAGCCATGTGGTGCCATGCCAGGCAATGCCACACAGCGAGCAGGTCGTTGGAAAAGGGGACAGCATGTGCGGGATTAGAGGAGAGGAGGTGATGAGAGGAGGCGACGAGAGGAAATGACGAGAGGAGGTGACGAGAGGAGGCAACGAGACGAGGTCTGGGTTTAGAAACGCTAATCAACTGTTATTCTAAAGTGTGCATGGTACTTGATGCACCACTAGCAAGCGGCAAGTAACAAGCAGGTAAAGCATAAAGCATAAACCTATGGGTCGTGCTCATAGGAGTTTCACTCCTATGGGTCGTGTTTTGAGGCATACTATGGATGCCTTAACTCCGCCGCAGGCTTATTCTCTCCGCACCTAAGACATTAAGGACGTACCTAGCGAGGGAGTAGGTGCCGTAATACGCAGGCCTTGTGTTCTCCGCGAATTGCAGCAGCTTCTTCCGCCTCCGCTCCCTCCTCCGCACGCCCCACTGCTTCCCCTCTCCCCCACGCCCATCTCCACAACCTTGCCCCCCTCCTTCCCGCTCCCCTTCCCCCTTCCCCGCACCCTTCTCCCCTTCAGTATTATTCGTTTCGTTCCCCCTTTCAACCACACCACCATCCCCTCCTTCCGCAGTAGCTCCTCCTGCTCCCACCCCATCCGCACCCCCTTCCTCCCCACCCACCAATCGCATCACCTCATCTTCCTCCTTAGCCGCCTGTCCCTTCTTCCCCAGCCCAGCAGCCCCAGCAGGATCCGCGCACGATCCTGCGCTAGTGACTGAAACACCACTGCCCGCAGCACCCGCCGCACCTCCTGCCTTTGCTGCTGCTGCGGCGGCGGCTGCTGCTGCTGCTGCTGCGGCCCGCGCCCGTGTGCCTATGCGCGCGCCCGACCGCGCTGCTGCTGCTGCCAACGTCGGGCGGAGCAACGCGCGGAAGCTTGCGCGTTCCCCACGGCCTGTGCCTGCAGTGGCGGCGGCGGCGGGTGCTCTGCGCGCTTGGCTTGGAAGGGGGGTCGGTGGGGGGAAGCGCGTGGTGCGCGTTCCACTTCTGGCACAGGGAACTGGGCGGGTGGGAAGGGGTTGCGGAGGGGGAAGGGAGGGGAGGAGGACGTGGGGAGGGCGGGGAGTGCGCGGAGGGCGGGGAGGCGGAAACGTTGGGAACAGGGAAGAGACGATTGAAACAGAGTACTGGAGTGAACGAACGGAAGTACAGTACAGGGGTGGCTAGGTTATTCTCAAGGCTAAGGGAGAGGCAGACCAAATGAAAAGCCGCGCTCCCACCCCTTCGCCCATTCTCTTCCCCCCAGCCCGTGTCCACTCCTTTCCCCCGGTGTGCACGCCCTCCCCCACGCGCGCCCATTCCTTTCCCCCACCGTGTCCTACCTGAGCAGCTCCGCCTGGGTTAGCGCGCATGGTCGCGCAAGCTGCGCGTCAATGGCCTCTGTGCTGGCGGAGAGAGGCGCGCCAAGCCGCGCTGCGCTGGCTGGCGGAGGAAGAAAGGGGGACGCCTTGGCGGCAGGGGTAGCTTCTCCCCCGTCCCCCTCCCCGGGGACCCCGCGGTCGCTGCCGCTTCCCCGCCCCCTCCGCCTGCTGCTGCGCCTGCGTGCGCTGATCCCGCTGGAGCGGCGGAATCGAGAGGTGCGGCGGCTGCTGGAGCGGGCTGTAGCGCGGGAAGGGAAAGAGGAAGAGCAGATAGAGACTGAGGGTGAGGTAAAGAGAACGGTAAACTGAAACCAGAGGAACCACGGAGAAGGCGAGGCAAGGAAGGGATTTCGAGGCGTCTCAAAAATCAGGGCACGAGGACGCAAGCTTACCAATGCCGCAAACAGAACGAATTGCACAGACTAGCCGCACTGACGGCTCCAAAAAACAAGAAAGCTGTGATAACGAGCAAGTCGTGAAAACGAGGTGGGAAAACGAGGGGGAAAACGAGGAGCGAAACGAGTATCAGCGTCGATTCCTTGCCTTGGTCTCGTCCTTCTTCTTTCCCAAAAAACGACTCATGAAATTCGCCGCTTTCTGCTTTGCCGCCCTTTGCTTCTCCTCGGCCTCCTCCTGCTTCTTCCGCTTGAGCTCCCTCTCACGCTCCTCCTCCTTCCTCTTCGCCTCCTTCTCCTCTCGCGCTTTTTGCTTCCGCAGCCTCTCACCCTCCTCTTGCTGCCGCTTCTGCTCTTCTCCTCTTCCTTCTTCTTCCTCTCCTCCTCCCGCTTCCGTCGCTTCTCCTCCTTCTCTTCATCCTCTTGCTTCTTCTTCGCCTCCATCTCTTCCTTCTTCTTTCTCCTCAGCTCCTTCGCCTCCTCCTCCTTCTGCCGCTTCTTCTCCCTCTCTTCCTCCCGCTGCTTCCTCTTCAACTCTCGCTCAGCCCCGCCCTTACTCGTCCCCTTCCCTCTCGCCTTCGTCGCTCCCGTTTTTTGCCTTCACCAAATTACTGCCTCCTCCTGCCGCCATGCTCGTCCCTCCTGCGACGCAGCGGGTTGCGCCAGCAACAGCCACGGGGCCCTGACTAACGAAGTCGGAGATTGGTCTCGCGCGAAGCACCTCCCCGTCAATATGCCCTGCTATCGGTTCCACCTCCGGCGCTCGAATCGTCTCTTTCGCATCGTCTCTCTCTTCCTCTTCCTCCTCCTCCCGCTCTGCCTCTTCCTCGTCTTCGTCCTCCTCCTCTTCCATTTCCTTCTCGTCCTTCTCTGCTTCTTTCGTCTCTTCCGCTTCTTTCAACTCCTCCGCTTCTTTCCTTCCATCCGCTGCTTTTTCCTCCTCATTCTCACAGCCCTTCCGACCGTTAAAAACGTCCGTCATCTCTGCCGGTCCGTCCTTCTTTACGGTGCTAACGTCACCAACCGCACCGCGCTCCGCTGCTGAGTCATCCAACTGTCCTAGTGACGTGGGCCCAGGCAGCACCACCCTCGTTGTAATCCCCTTCACTTCAACCACTGCGGGTGAGTCCACGGGCCCCCGTTTGACGGCGCAATCGACGCTGTACATTTGACAGGAGACTCTGAAGTTCAAACGGCTGTAAGGCGGAACCACAGAAAAAAAAAAAGTTGAGAAAAAAATGGTGAAGAATTGAAGGGTTGAAAGGTGTGGAGAGATGTCAACCGCCGTAGTAAGTACAGGAACGGAACGGGAATGAAGGATGCCGGTTCAGCGAAGAATGGAAGAACAAAACCGACAATCTCACGGGTGATGTAAAGAAAGAGGAAACGCAGGAATGGGATTAAAACAGTGCAAGCACCATATGCAAAAGAGAATGGTGGACACACGACAAGACAAGCGGAACGGTGTCTCGAAAGCAAGACCCGCCACGATGTTTATCGTACCAAAGGAGTATGGAACGCTAACCCTAGTAGGCGCTGATGCAGACCCGTTTCATTGGTCAACGGTCGTCAAATGCGAAAGCGTGGCACATGTGCGAAACGTCTGGCGACGTTTTCCAAGGTGGAATTAAAATGTCGACGGCTCGAAAGGCGCGATAGGAGATCGGCACGGCTGTCTGCAAGCGTGAGAACCGCAATAATCCACGAGATAGCGGTCGTTCGGTGCTAAAACGGGAAAGAAGTACTTGTGGGAAGCTGTTTACGTGAGGCAGCGAGATTGTAGTCAGGCAGCAATTAGAATAGCCTCGTGAACGCGAAATTAAGTCGAGTGAGAGACCACAACGCTGCACGAGCTAGAAGCCGTCAACGGCGAGACAGAACGACGGTTTCGACGCGGCAAATGCATGACACTTGTGCTTGCTCTTGCGCTGTGATGATGCAAAGCACAGGAGGAGCAGAGAATATGAAATAACAAAAGAAATTCGAACAGCGAAACAGAAAGGCAGCCAGAAGCGCTAAAGAGGCTTGGAGGGCGGGGGGGGTCAAGGGGAAAGACCGCGCGGGAGGTTGGGCGGGGATGCGCGCACGGCAAAGTCAAGGCATGGCAGGAGTCGTTGGGGGTTTTCCCTCCCTCGCAACCCTTCCGCATCCCCAGTCAGGATGGTCCGCGGCGTGGGCGGAAAGCATGGCATGGCATGCTTGGGTGAGCAGGAACAAATGGGGGGGAAGAAGGAATGGGGCGGCTGAGAGTTTGGTACAGTGTGAAAAGCGCGCTCCTGCTCGTCATTCAGCGATGGATGGGGCGCAGGGGGGATGCGGAGAGCATCGCGTGTCACGGTGAAGCTGAGCGGAGCGGAAGCATTTCCGCAAGGGGAAGGAGAGGGAATTCGCGCCAACGCCCCGTAGCGCCCAAGGCTGGGTTTGCATGCCCGAGAATTCAAATTCCGAAGTTTCAAACATTCCGGCGAACGAGCTGCACTGTGCGCTGTCGATAAAAGCATGGATTTGCTAATCATATAAAATTCCCTAGCTTTCTCAGAATGCTAAATACTATGTGCCAGAATTATACTATGTGCACAAAATACTATGTGCTAATTACTATGCGCCAGAATTATACTATGGTACAAAATACTAAAATTGAAAGAATAAATGGCTGCCAGAATTATACTATGTGCACTGCAGTTTCAATTGTGACAATGCTGCATGTTGACGTCTGCGCATGCCATGGATTATACATTTTGTGAAATCCCATTTAGAGCCTGGTTAGGGTGGGTGAGGATCTTTTGTGGTTTGCCTGGCACTTACGGTATTGCTAGTTTGAGGTGTTCACTTAATAATACAAATGATGACTACCATCTCTGCGTGGAAAACAATTGTATTTGTATAATATCTATGACCACCACTCAACACCGTTCTCTTTAATTTGATTTAACTAATAACACCCCTACCTAAGCCCTCTTCTGCTGTGCATGCTGCCGCATCACCCCAGCAGCCACCGCCGCAGCCGCCGCCTCGATCCTTCCGCGATCGCTCTTAGCTAAGTGCGGGCCGCAGTGTGCGCGGAACTTATCCGGATGCCACACCAGCAGGGCACGCCTCATCTTCCTCTCTGCCTCTGCCCGTCCGTCCCCAGGCTCCAGAAACAAAGGATTCCCGGGAGGAGGCCAGGGGATGTCAGAGAAAGCGAGGGCGAGGGGGGCAGCGGGGGGAGAGGTGGCAGGAGAGGAGGCGGTGGGGGGAGAAGTTGGGGTGTGGTGGGGGGAGGAGGGTGAGGGAGCGCGGGGCGAATGTTGTTGCTGCTGCTGCTGCTGCTTCTGCTGCTGCTGCTGTTGGGTGTGGATTCTAAGGGAAGACAGGAGGGCGTTCCAGCATCGGTCATACGTGCGGTACGAGGAAGGCCGCTCACACACACTCGTGCTGTCACTGCTGCTCTTGCTGTACCCGTTACTGTAACCGTAACTGTTACTGCTGTAACTGTAGCCATAGCTGTTACTGCTGTTGCCATAGCTCCCACTTGTGTAACCATGCGCTTGCTCATAATAACCACGCCCGTCTCTGTATGCAGTCCCAGACCCAGAACCTGACCCGGACCCAGGCCCATGCTCGTGCCCATACTCGTACCCATACCCGTGCCCGAACCTCCTCCCTGTCCTCCTCTCTTCCGCCTCATCCTGTGCCCGTCGCATGCGAATCCTCTCTCTAAGCCACTCCTGGAACTCCCTCTCCTCCTCCTCGCTCCCTTCATCATCCTCGTTCTCGTCAAAGCCACTCTCACCCCCTCCTCCCCCTCCTCCTCCTCCGTAGAACGAACCACTGAAATAGGCACTGCGGGGATCGTAGCCGCTCCGACAACTGAACCGTTCTGCACCCCTTCGTTTTCCGTTCCCTCCTCCTCCTCCCGCTCTTGCGGCCTCCTCCCACGCTCTCCTCAATCCTTCCGCCCTCCTCCTCTCCCTCTCCCTCTCCAACTCCCTCACTCGCTCCCTCACTCTCTCTCTCGCTCTCTCCAACGCCTCCTCCCTCATCCTCATCCTCTCCACTCTCTCCCGATGCCTCCTCCACCGCTGCCACTTGTCAGCTTCCCATTGGCCCGTCCGCGGCCCTCTCCCCCTCATCCCCTTCCCCCATTTCTGTCGCAATTTCTCCACCTCATCATCCTCCTCCTCCCCCTGCAACTCCTAGGCACACAGTGAAACGGGAAACGTATGCAGGACGGTGGTGGGGACGGAGGGGGGAATGCGATAAGATAGACAGTACAGAACTCTCTTGGTGAACTCAAACGATCCTTTGAAAGAGAGAATCAGAGTTTGTGAGTGACACAGTGAATTCTCCATCCTTCCTCTCAGCTGGGAATACAGGGAGAACAGGCAGTTGGGATGCAAAGGGGAGCGAGGGAGGCTGGAGACCTAAGCACGAGGCAAGAAGAAACCAAGGGAGAAAATAACAGGGATTCACGACATAAGAAGCATATGGCGCGGCAGGGATTTGCAATCCGAGCATCAAAATCCGGGGGTTTCTGGTCCAAGCCCTTGGGCTTCAGGTGTGGGTGTGCGTGGGCGTGGGCTTACCAGTGGCATGGCGCTGTGTGGCGAAGCTTGCAGCAGGGAGGAGAGGAAGAAGGCAGCGTTGCCCACGAACAGCAGGTTTTGAGACGTCTCAAAACACAACTTTCATTACAGGGCTTCAGGCGTGAGTGGATGGGGGGCGTGGGCGCGGGTGTGGGCTTACCGGTGGCATGCCGTTGTTGTGTGGCGAAGCTTGCAGCAGGGAGGAGAGGAAGAAGGCAGCGTTGCCCACGAACAGCAGGTTCCGTCCCGTGAACCCAATCATGTGCCCCACCCACCCCACGTGCCACTGCCACCCCTTCCCTCCCCCCTCCGCTGCTCCTCCCCCTCCCCCTCCGCCCTGCCCCTGCCTCGCGCCCTGCCTCCCCGCCCGGGCTTTCCTTCTCTGGAGCGCGGTGGGTAGTTTTTCTGAAGCCCTGCTGCTGCTACTGCTAGCAGTGCTGCTTGTGTCTGTGTTGCTGCTGCTGACAGCATTCAATGCGCTGCTGTTGGTACGTCTGGCAGCAGACTTACCATCACTGCCAGACGTACCCTTCATCTCGTCTTCTTCCCCCTCTTCCCCTTCCCCTTCCCCCCCGGCTCCTCCCCTGCCTTCTCCCCTCCCCCCTTCTCCCCCCCCACCCCCTCTTCCCCAAACCCCCTTGCCCCCACCATGCCCCCCTCCGCCGCTGACGTCAGCCTCCCCCTCCGCCGCGCTCTCTTCCCCGCCACGACCATCAAACCCACCAGAAGCAGCAGAAGCACCGCATGACATGGCGGCAGCAGCAGAAGCAGATGAAGCAGCAGCGCCAGAGTTCACTGCAACAGCATCACCTGTGCTGATGCGCCTAAAGTCCCCTCCACCGCCCCCAACCCCAGCACTCGCGGGATTTGCGGCAGCAGCAGCAGCAGCGGCGGCGGCGGCGGCGGCGGCACCCCAACCCCGCGCCACTATGACCCTCACCGCTTGCTTCTCCCCCCTCTCCCCCGCATCGCTTCCGCGCCCCCTAAGTCGCGCAGCCCCGCGGAGCTTCCGCCCCGCGGGATTCACGCGCTGGTCCCCCTGCGGCACGTGCGCGGAGAGCATGGCTGCAGGCGGAACAGCGCACCCGCAGGCCGCTCGCAAGGGGCAAGCCATTGGGGAAGAGGCGAAGCGGAGCGGCTGCAGTGGGTGGCGGAACGCGGAATGCGGAACGGGAAGGGGAGTGGACGTCCGATGCGGGGAAGCGGAAGGCTGAAAGAGGGGAGAGAAGAAAGAGAGACCGTCGGCTGGATGCACGATCGAAGCAGCGAGGGAACGAGAGACGAGGGACGAGCAGCGAGAGCGTCGACGAAGACGTGAGGTTTGGACTAGTCAGCGCGAAATGTGGTTGCTGTGAGGTGTATACCAGCGTACAAGCGGAAACTATTCTTGAGACGTCTCAGAACTACACTATTATTACGAAATGTGGCTGCAGGGAGGTGTATACCAGCCTACAAGCGGAAACTATCACGTGGCTTTGCCTGAAAACACTCAAACGTGGCCTAAAAATTTGCTCCTTGGTTTGAAGCTTAGGAGAACTTAACTACGGTGGAGGATGGAGCGTAGTCGGCGGACAAGGAGAGATGGAAAGCACCAGCGTATGACGGGGAACGCGGGGAGAATATGTCTTGGCGAGAGGTTACTAATGGCGGGCGGTGAGAGAGCAGACAGCCTCGCTGCAGGAAGGAACGACGAGGAGAATTCGCTCGGTGAATGTGTAAGCCATGCGGAACCGTAAGCTGAGCTAGATGAAAGACCGAGGTCCACGGTATTTAGTAGAATCAGACAAGCCCGCCTGGGCCGTGAGGTCAGGCGTGCTTGAAGCGCCGCAAACGGCGCTAGATGCGGCGTGGATTCTGCTGTTGGACGGATTCGAGCAAGCACGGTGCCATGCAATGGGGTGAAAGCGGCTGGTGGATATGCCTGCCACGTCAAGTGTATATCGCTATACGCACTGTCCGTTTCCGTCAAGTGTTATTGCACGAGGGTACTATATGTGTAATACTAATGTTAGCTAAACCGGTATAGTTTGCTTGTCCTCCCAATGTGCAGTATTTTTTTGGGTTGCGAAGCAACCCTTTACGATCGATTTTGCCAAATTTGCATAATTTTCATGTTTATATTTTTTGTTAAAACATGAAAATAAAATTTGCAAACTACAGTAATACCCTTCCCATACTGTATGCATGTTAAGCAGTCTTGACTACGGTACTGTTCACAGTGTATTAGACCATATGATTTTTTTGCAGTTGTTTAGTGCAGATTTGCTGTACTGTTTGCATTACCGTATATGTTTTACTGTTGAATGGTGTTGTGTGATAATAAATTGATGCATGCACAATGCATAAATGATGCTATACAATGCATAATGCATAAATAATGCTATATAATGCGTGTGATATATCATGAATGATGCGCATGCACATGGTAAAATGCGTGACAGTTAAAAACCCAAAAACTAAGCTACCGCCATCCCCTGCCTAGCATGGGGGGGAGGTAAATAGCTTAGCTTTTGAATAATCAACTACCACATGAAACAACACAATCTGTGAAATCTAAAAAGAAAATCATCTCTATCAAATCCAGTTCGAAGTGGTCGCACACGAGTCACTGAGTGCGCCAATGAACCTTTTGTGAAATGATAGATTTGAGATTTCTTTTTAAAGATCAAAGACGTGCGTTGTTATTGCAATGGATACGGATGAATGCACACAGCCACAGCACAAACACACACACAAAGACACACACACACACATACAAACACATATACAAGATCACACACATTCACACAAACGGAAAAAAAAAAACCGTAAATGCAAAAAACTTTAAAAACAACAAAACATGCAATACAAAACAATCCTACAGATTACCACTACTATCCACTTCACAAGTAATCTTGGCAGATGTACACATCTGGAACGAAAGCCAGAAGGAAATCTGGAAAAACAAATAGGCACCGAATGAAGGAGAGGGAAAGAAGGAAGAGGGGAGAGAAGAAAAGAATTATCAAAATGTGGAGAAAATTGAAAAGAAAGTAAGTCAAATGAGGAGAATATTATAATAACCAAACAGAATGCAATCTAATGGTGGTAAGGTAAAAAAATGATGAACAACGCTATACGTTAAAAAACAGAACGCAAAAAACAGAGCAAGTAACAAAACAGGAAACAACGATATACCTTAGCTTTGAATTTCACAGAGAGAGAACGAGAGAAGAGAGAGAGAGAGGAGAGAGAGAGAGAGAGAGAGAGAGAGAGAGAGAGAGAGGAGA